ATCCAGTGTATTACCTCCCTTGTGTTGCATTAAAACCAGGGACCATTTCACCAACGTGGCTTCATTTTTTAGTGCCAAGCTAAATGGTTGCCCAATTAAATGACATTTTTTTAATTCATTGAAACAAGACGCGATATCACTAGTTTGAATCTCATGTGTCCGACCATCTTTTATACATGCTAACGCCTGGTTGCAAGCAACTCAATTCCTTCTAGCCGTCTAAATATTGAACAAAACAGGGTTTTTTCCCAATTCATTTACAACAGCGTTGGGTGTGGGTTAAATTACTGAAGAGCATGTGTAAGCTCGAATGTAGATCTTTGCCAAACTTTGTTCAGAAGAGTGACTTTCATTACGTTCATGAGCAAGAGAAATTCTATGCTAGGCTGGTGGTAAATACATGGGGACGTTACTCAGAAGATGAACCTATATTTGCAAAGTGGACCATGATATGTATCCTAACAAATGGAGAGAGATATCCTGTATGATCAAGGTGTTATTTTTCATCCTGTATTTTAGACTCCCCTTGTTTAGTTGTGAGTTATGGTTAGCTGGTTTACTCCTTTTAGCATATTAAACCAATGTAATCCGTAATGAGTCCAAAATAGCACCATGCAGTTATTATGAAAAATGCGCACATGCACATGCGCACTGAATGAAACACTCTGGTGTTGTTCACTGGTCAACAATATAGGCGATAGCGCCCATAGTAACCAAAGGACCTGTTTCCCTGTACGGAAGTGTAGCAACGCTTCAACCTGACAACTAGAGTTAGCTCCTACTGGATGCATAGTCAGAAGGTCAACAAGGTGACCATGTGCAAAACGTTGGCTAACTACATAAGTTCGAAGATCTACTTATTTGGTACATAGTGGAAAACGAAAGTCAAAAGCTTAACTAGGAGATCCAGTGGAAAGGCTTGGTTAACTATGTAAGCATCATTCAATGCAAAGTGGAATCAGAAAGACAAAAGATGAACAAGTTGGTCCAGTGGAAAGTGCACCCGGTAAAATGTCAACCCGCCCAGCCATAGCTGACCAATGGCGTGCTGCACCTGTCCATCAGGTGTTTATCATAAAAGTTAAAATGCATGTTGTCTCACATTTTTTATATTTCCGTAGATATTTTGTCATCCGTTTATAATACCTGACAGAGAGAATGTATTCCGTTGGGGATTAACAACCCTTGACTGAACTTGTACACGCGATGTTTTAATCCACGTTCAATATCCAGCACATGTGTATCAGTAAGGCACTGAGTCATGTATCTGTCTGTGTCTCAAAAGTAGGCCCATACTTTAGAAATGATAATCATACGTCAAATTCGTTTTGGTAGCATGGATTGTATATACATTTCAATTATTTTCTAAATTTAGAGTTCGTTCTCAATTACTTCGATTATATTCTAGTTAGTTTATAGTTATCTAAGTATATTAAAATTACCTTTTCTCGTTATTTCAAGTAATTTCTCGAAGTTTTGAGTTTGTTTTCAATACTTTGATTTAGTTTTTCAGATTGCGCAGGATTTTGATGATGACTTAAGACATGAGACTTCTGATGTAGAAGTGTATATTCTTTGTTTTAATAAAAAAATATAAACATTAACATACTTCCCAATTTTTCTTGTCCCATGTGGCCAGTGCAACTGCGTCGCGTTCGTGGAGTTTAAAGATGCACCTAATAAAAGCACACGTTCCAATTCCTGGGAGGGGCGGTGGGGTAGCCTAATGGTTAAAGCGTTCGCTCGTCACGCCGAAGACCCGGGTTCGAATCCCCACATGGGTACAATGCGTGAAGCCCATTTCTGGTGTCCCCCGCCGTGATGTTGCTGGAATATTCCTAAAAGCGGCGTAAAACTAAACTCGGTCAGTCAGTCCAGTTCCTGGTAGTGTCGAATAATTCTGCTGTCACAAGTGTCATTATTCCTTCACTGTAGGGCGACTGGGGTAGCCTACTTGTTAAAGTGCTCGCTCGTCACGCTAAAGACGCTTCCCCACATGGGTAAAATGTGTGAAGCCCATTTCTGGTGTCCCCAGCCGTGATATTGCTGGAATATTGCTAAATTCGGCGTAAATCCATACTCGCTCACTCCACTGTACAGAATCGTCCACACCACAACAGGCCTTAAGAGTGAGATGCCTCACAAGTTTGCCATCACATCTCGCTATTTTGTCTTGCAGTAGACGGAAATAATCAATGTCGGTAAAGCCATTCGTAGCATTTGTAACTGTTTCTCGTCTCCAACTTAACAAGCGTGAGTTTAGGTTTACGCCGCTTTTAGCAATATCACGGCGGGGAAACCAGAAATGGGCCTTTGACTTTGTACCCATGTGGGGAATCGAACTCGAGTCTTCGGTGTGACGAACGAACGCTTTAACCACTAGGCTACCCCACCGCCCTCAAACAGCAAGAAAACGGACAGACGAAAAGAATGATGAAAATATAACAATGCTTTCACTAATTGTGTGATTTATTTCATGAAATTGTTAACTTTCGATCACTTGATGAAAGTGTTTCAAACAATTCAGGTTGAGTCGCTTTGTTAGGGAAACAATATTTTAATCAAATTAATTTTACTTTTAATGTAGATGAAGAAAAATCAGGTTGGCCTGGAGTGGGCATTTCTTGCACACAGGAAAGTGCTATAAAGACAGTCGGACAGATAGACAGACAGTTTATTTACATGTACATACATACATACAAATACTTGTATAGCGCCAATATCCGTAATCCGCTCAAAGGCGCTCTGGCTCTAAGATGGTCTAGATATCACATAGAGTTCAAATGCTTCAGCAAAGAGACACGTATGTGGCCAAATGGCCAATAATACACAGCAAAGTGCAACAGCATGTTAGGCACTGACAGTTTATTTGTATATATGGCCATAGTCAAGTAGTAAGAGAAAAGTGTGACGTGGAAGGCACTGAAAGACAATTTTATTCGCATATGTTCCCAAAAGGCCTATAGGACATCACGTATACAACACCATCGCACTGTACTATCACATCACAGATTCATCAACAATACGAAAAGGAGGAGGTTGGGGTTTTTCGATAAATGACAAGAGCTTTGTTCAACAATCTGATTTCAAACATCTGGTCTTTCTATTTAACAAGTGATCTGTGTCAGATGCAAGATTAAGAATTTTACATAATGCAGGAAAGAGTACCCTCGTTATTTTATAAGCAATGAAACACTTTTGTCAAAACGAAAGATATTATGATCCGAAAGAGCTCCAAATCAGTTTTGAGAGGAAAATTTCTTTGAGAGGCATTAAGAATATGGATCAGTAAAGAAGGCTAACAAGATATGGATGAACAACTTCTTTATTACAATAAAATAATAAAAATAATATTTTATTACAATAAAGAAGTTGTTCATCCATATATCGTTCTCCATCCTTGAGTGGAAAATGTTCAAACATCTACCAGTGAAATAGCTGGACTGAATATTCTTAACATTAAAAAGCCGTAATATATGAAAACTTTCGGTTGGTGTTTCTGATAATCAAATCAATGGAGAAATCAAAATACTAGCAGATGGTATCGAAATTCAACTCCTTGTTTAACATGGTGATAATCCAGTCTCGTGAATAGTTTACGAGTTCAATCGGACTCTGAAATCTTCCGACGCTGTTTTCGTATTTGTTCGCATTCAACAGAATAAGATTATTCTCACACGACTTTTGTCTCCTTGATTTCATTGTAATGTTTTGTTCATTATCATATTTGAGGCCTTTTTAGCAATCAGACAATCAAGGCGATGACCAACATAACTTCAGCTGCGCAGCAGGAAGAGCAGTGAGTGCGTGAGAATAGTTTTACACCGCTCTTAGCAACATTCCACGGCGGGCTTCACCATTGGGCTTCACACATTTTACCCTAGTGAGGAGTCGAACCTGGGTCTTCAGCATGACGAGCGAACGCATTAACCACTAGGCTACCCCACATGAAGAGTAAGGTCATGATGACGCATCCTTGCGAAACACCTCTGTTCACTTGAACAATTTGAAACCTCTTGGTCTGAAAACTAGTAATCTATATAAAAACAAATGTTTAATTGATCTTTAGTCGCTCCGTCGCTGCGATTTTCAAAGAATTCACTCGCAGATATGAGACCTTTGCAGACAACGAGATAAGGAAGCTACTCATACAAGTTTAAACGTATAATACACTAGACGCCAAAAGAAACGTTACCCTCCTACCTTATGAATTACTGAAAAACTATCAAATATATTTTAGAAGGTTTTAGTCTAAATGAAAGCTTAACAACACAGCTTTATACAAATCAAGAAAAATAACTCCCAAATGCATTCATATTTGGGTGAAGTGCATCCTTTTCAGAAGAGTTAAACTGTCCTATATTCGTCCTTGCCGAAATAAACCAATAACAGTGATTTTGATGTCCAAAAGAAAGGTTGAAATAGAATTCTGCTTTTGGACAATGATAAACATTTAAAGTCAACATTTTCAACTATTAAAACAAGAAACAACTGTTGTAGAGTGTGTAAAATTGTAAAATAATCATTGATATGATTTCAGTCTTTTAAAACATTTTCTGCTGATTTGCATTAGTGTAAAACGTGCCACAAGTAAAACGTGCCTTTGATATTGTGAGACAATGTTTAGGAACATCTACAATTATCTTTGTTAACATTTTTGCTTGCAAAGTAACATTTTTCCATTTCCATTCTACACAATCATAGCAATATCAATCGCCAAAACGCAGCAATATTTAAACAGTATTTACATCCATTTCACATGCGGAATGATTCTATAGGGTATGAAGAGAGACTAGAAGACATGATCTGATACACAAGTACGAGAAATATGCCACGATTAACAGCTGAAGGGAGAGAAAGAGCTATTGGGATGGTGCAGATGGGGTCGACATACAATGCTGTTGCCAACGCCCACGGATGCCACCGTATCACGGTTATAAGACTTATTCAGGGCTTCAGACAGACTGGAATCACTGTAGACAGACCAAGAAGTGGACGTCCACGCATCACAACGCCAGCTGAAGATAGGCACCTCCGTCATTAAGGAAGGAGGGTAAAGTTTCTTTTGGCGTTTAGTGTATATTAGGCAACAATCTATTCTAGGGATTTTAACAATAGTTGATGGCCTTGAAGCAAACACAAGAGATTCTAGAGCAGCATCTTAGCGCATCCAGGGTCTGAAGGGCGCTGTTGAGGTTTCCCACATCACTTGTCAGGCCGGACTTTGACCTTGAGCATGATTGGTTTCTTGGTGTTCAATATGCCTGTGTATACAATGACGTCGTCCATTCCGACGGATGCCTGAAATAACCAACAGTTTAACAGCCTCCAGAACGAATTTAACCAGGAAGAGTTACAAATACTGACGGAAAAAATCAACGGCTCTTTATGTAAAGTTCAATAATGATGATATATTTTCGCAAATTAATTTAAGTGCATGATACGTTTGTTTAATAGAAGCAGAGCACAGTGACCGTCAGGCCAGTGGGTGTTCATGGAAACAATTAAACAAACAAAACACTAACCCTCTAAACACCAAAACAAACAATATTCGGTCACTGTTGTTTCACGTACACAATGCATGGGTTACAGAAAACCAATTCTAACCCGGATCTTCACGGGTAAACAACTTCTGTCCCTTAAGTTGTAGTCGTGTACAAAAGGACCATGTCTGTTTATGTCAGTTATTGTAAAGGATTCCGGCATTGCCACAAAGGTCAGCAAATACTGTCCAGTCTTAATGACTGGACCGGTACCAACTACAGGTCATTTTCATGGGATTTAAACTACCCTTTTTCATCTGAAACGACGACACGGAGGAAGCATGGTATTTATCCCTTATAGTGGACTCACCAAGGTGTCCTCCGTTGCCACAAACTGAATCTTTTGGAGAATCCGACCAAGCGCCATCTTCATTTCCACCTGTGCAAGCCTTATTCCCACACACTGACGGGGACCATGACCGAAGGGGAGATAATTTATAGGGTCCATTTCAGACTTCCGCTCCCATCTAAATTGAGGAATAGTGCATTATGAGCTGAACATTTGTAACTACTGTGTTGAACAAGTCTCCTGCACACGAAACACACGATTTGTACATTCAGAGAGCAGTAAAAAGGTTAACAAAAGCAATCCTGAAAGGAAGAGGTGAGGTGAGGTGAGGTGAAATTGGGTTTAACGTCGTGCTTGAGAATATTTCGCTCATATGACGACGTGCATGCGTGTGTATGTGTATGTGCGGCTGCTTGTACTAGCCCAGACTGAAGCTGGTTTTATAGTGCTAGCCCACTGAGATACCTGAAAGAAAGAACTATGAACACTTGTTATGTCCTGTCAGGTCATTATTCCATAACAGACCCGCAAGAGTAGATTATTGAGATTTCTACTCTCCATATTTATATTCTTGAAGGGATAGGAAACTGTGGAAAAGTGAGTGTGTTTAGTTTTACGCCGCACTCAGCAACATTCCAGCTATATGGCGGCGGCCTGTAAATAATAAAGTCTGGACCAGACAATCCTGTGATCAACATCATTAGCATCGATCTACGCAATTGGGATACGATGACATGTGTCCCGCCTCGCCTGATCCCGTTAGTCGCCTCTTACGACATGCCAAATGGTGAGTGAGTGAGTATGAATATCACGGTGATGGACACCAGAAATGGGTTCACGGGGTGATGGTACCTACCTGTCAGGCTTGAAGCTTTCGGGGTCAGGGTATATATCACCATCCCTGTGTATCGCGAAGGTAGGGATGCTGACAGCACAGCCCTTGGGGAACGTGAAACCCTTAATGGTGACAGTCTCCGTTACGTTACGTCCTACTCTGTAACAGTGAGTATGGAGAGTTGGAGTACTTGCGTTTACTGTGAAGTTAGGGATATCCCACTATTAAGATATGGTGACAGTGAGTGAGTGAGTATAGTTTTACGCCGCTTTTAGCAATATTGCAGCAATATCACGGCGGGGGACACCAAAAATGGGCATCTGGCATTGTACCCTTGTGGGGAATTGAACCCGGGTCTTCGGTGTGACAAGCCAACGTTTTAACCACAAGGCTACCCCACCGCCCTATGGTGACAGTGAAGAGAGCTGAAGGTTGTAATCAAATTTATAGTGTGATATCAGCCAAACAGGAACTTGTGGCTATGATGTAATAGAGCTATGATATTCTAAGGGATTGTTGGATATTCTGAGATTGCACTAACACGGATTTATACCTTTCACATAGTCACATACCATCCTCTACAGTCAGGGATATTGTGTCTTTTTAGCGTTTAGCTTATATGTATAGTACCAGGGGCGGATGCAGCCTTTTGAGAAAGGGGATTGGGGTGGGGTTGCACACTACTGAGAAAAGGAGGGTGCACATTTCATTTTCACCAGAGTTTCAATGGTCATTTAAAAAACTCTCAGCACAAAAAGGGGGGTGCGCACCCCTGCACCCCCACCCCCTCTGGATCCGCCTATGTAGTACAAAGGGCAAGGAATTCAATGCCAATGGTGAATTTGTGAAGCATGCGTCTGACACAATTGTTCCTGTCTTATTCTATACGCGAACAAGTGAGACTGGTAAAAAATAGTTGCTGGAGTGACATTTCACATAGTTAACACATCCCCGTCTTACAAAGATACAGCAGGATACAGTCTGAGAGTCTCCGTGATCACGTGATCCATGTATTTCAGGCCGCCAATATTGTCATAGTCTGGAGTTTTCTGAAACACAAATGTCCAATATCAGAACACATGTGAATATTTAAATACTTATTATTGATGGTTCAAGGTTTTTTTAACCCAAGGATTGGTAAAATTTAGCAATTGATCCTGATTTCAGGCACACAAAATGTTATGTAAAAAATTCTAATAAGGAAATGGTTGATGTCGAGTATGAGGCAGGGCGTGGGGTCACCCCATATATGACCGAGTGAGTGAGTTTGTTTTTACACCGCAATTAGCAATATTCCAGCAATATCACGGCGAGTGAACCAGAAATTGGCTTCACATATTGTACCAATACGGGGAATTGAACCCAGGTCTTCAGCCTGACGAGCGGACGCTTTAACCACTAGGCTACCCCACCGCCCCCAGCCCATTGATGGCATCCTAGTCAGTGGGTTAGCCTCTTTGATCATGTAGACAATACAACCTTCTGACAAGAAGGTCCATTGGTCGGACTCAGAAATTCCATGGCCGCTACATGAACATCAGATTGTCTACTGCTATACGATACCAAGGATTTGAGGACACCTGCACTAGAGGTCGCGAAAGGTGAACATTCTCATCAGGTAACAAGCATCGAGACTAATGTTTTAACATGTTTTAGCTGTTTTCAGTTTCTAGTGAGTGGGTTTAGTTTTACGCCGCACTCAGCAATATTCCAGCTATATGGCAGCAGTCTGTAAATACTCGAGTCTGGACCAAACAATCCGGCAATCAACAGCATCATCTGCGCAATTGGGAACCGATGACATATGTTAACCAAGTCAGTGAGCCTGACCACCCGATCCCGTTAGTCGCTTCTTACGACAAGCATGGGCAACTGAAGATGAATTCTAACCGGGAGGGGCGGTGGGGTAGCCTAGTGGTTAAGGCGTTCGCTCGTCACGCCGAAAACCCGGGTTCGATTCCCCACATGGGTACAATGTGTTAAGTCCATTTTCTGGTGTCCCCCGCCGTGATATTGCTGGAATATTGCTAAAAGCGGCGTAAAACTAAACTCACTCACTCACTCACTAACCGGGACCTTCACGGGTAGTGTCTAGTGTTGAGTTGAGTTGGGCACATCGGCATTATTCCAGCCATATAGTGACGAGATCAAGTCTGCATTAGTTTCTAGTGAGTTTAGTGCTACGCCGTTTTAGCAATATTCTAGCAGTGTCACGGCACCAGAACATATTGTACCCATAAAGGGAATTGAACACGGGTCTTCCGCGTGACGAGCGAACCTTTTAACCACTAAGCACTATCTATCTAAATATATATCTATCTATCTAAATATCTATCTATCTATCTTATGCGTCCCTGGCGTTGTCGTTTGAAGTAAATTGTGATGCTCTCTTCAGGAACTCTTATAAAGAGGAAGTTGAATTTATATGGAATTAAATAGTTCGATTTAACATCCCAGCTAACTTGTGTGCACGTGAGTTGGTCAAGAAAAACAATCTTGTTTAAAAATTACACACATCTCCCAAAACCGAATCGATCTCTTCCGTGAGCCGCTTTTGTACATCCGGGTTCTTTGCCAGGGAGTAGGCAACAAAATGGAGGGTGTTGGCCGTTGTTTCGTATCCAGCAATGAAGAATAACAAAGCCTGACCTATTATTTCGTCGTTGGTCATTTCTGAAATGGTTTAACAAGATGTGAAAATGAGTGGAAGATATTTAAGATGAACATGCTGTTATTATATTACATGATGAGTTTCAGTATATTTGAACAACTTCTGTAGTTGTTTAACATAGTCTTTGAATAACGAATCTAGCTTACTTTTCGTCATTCGAAAAATTAATAACGTAAAACGTATTCGCTAATAACAGCAAAACCAAACAAACTTTTTTTTCTGAGATCCACCTTGAGTGTCAGTCCCATCACCCCCTGCGTCCATCAGGAGTTGAAAGAAGTCTTGTCTTTTCATCTGCAACAGAAGCAGGGAAAGTTGGCTCTTAATAAACTCACACACATCAACACCACATGTAAGTCTAAGACATCATAATAACAGTTTCAAAGATTATGAATGAGTGAGTGAGTGAGTTTAGTTTGACGCCGCACTCAGCAATCCAGTGATCAACAGCATGAGCATCGATCTGCGCAATTGGGAACCGATGATATGTGTCAACCAAGTCAGCGAGCCTGACCCCCCGATCCCGTTAGTTGCCTCTTACGACAAGCATGGGTTACTGAAGGCCAATATTCTAACCCGGACATGCACGGGTCTCAAAGATTATGAAAGAAAACACATCTGGTAAAAGGAATTGATAGTTTGGTGGTAGATGCAATTACTTATAATGCAAATGAAATTTTCAATTTGGCCGTTTTAATGAGTAGTTTCAATGATATAAAGACGTACAAGCTATTGCGAAAGGAAATCCGTTATCAAGGTTCCAGAGTGAGTGAGTATGGTTTTAATCCGCTTTTAGCAATGTTTCAGCAATATCACGGCGGGAACACCAAAAAAGCTGTTGGCTTCCATTGTTTAGCCTCCATCTTTATTACTTTTGTTGTTCTTACATGTACATGTATAGGTTCTGTGCCTCATACCATCCACTCACCTGATGAAGGAGTGAGGATATACTCGGAAACGTGTTCCGCATAAGAGAGAAGTAAACATCCATAAAACTATCGTCCTTGTGTGTATCCCTTCTAAATGCCATTCAAAGACCGGAGTTCTGCTGGTTAATGCACACTCGGAAACATCAGATTCCACCCCCATCTCTTGGGTACCTACCTTTCCTTCCTTCAAATCAGCCTTCCGTTGTTCAATCATTTCATTCAGAACCTTCGTGAAGAACTTAAGAGTGCTCCTTGAAAACGAGCTCACACCTAGGGCTCTGAACAAGGGTGAGAGCGGGAAAAATCACTGGAAATGTAAATTCAAATTTAACAGCAATTATTCAATAACACAATTAAAATGACGAGGTTCCAAGGCCACTGCTTGTGGGGAATCATCATTGTAATCGCTATAAAATGGATTTAGGGGATACACTTTTATATTTGTTCCCTGGACTTTTCAAATATTAATTCAGCGAATTCCTGTTTTGTTCTTGATATCACACTTTGTATTTTTAGGCATTTTGGGGGGAAACACTGCGAAGGTACTTGAGAGAAATTTTCACTATTCACTTACATACTATTCACTTACAAACAATTATGACGAGAGGGTTTTGGATTCCTTCCCCAAAGAACTTCTTTGCCTCCTCAACAAAAGCATTTTTGAAGTCACTTTGGGAATCCACTTCGATCCCAAACGCTGTGCTTGATATGGCGTCCATTGTGAATGCACCAAAGTAGCTGGAACGGAGTTCACATATTTCATTGTGCTTTCCTTACAACACAAAATACACTCGTGACGTCACTACGCCGTGGAATCGTTGCAAACCGGGGATCGCTTAGAGTTAGCAAATGAATCCTTATCCCGAGCTAGCAACAGCTCGAACCCGTGAAGATCCTGGTTAGAATTGGTCTTCAGTGACCCATGCTTGTCGTAAGAGGCGACTGACGGGATCGAGTGGTCACGCTCTCTGACTTTATTGACACACGTCAATGTATCCCAGTTGCGTAGATCGATGCTCATTCTGTTGGTCACTGGATTGTCTGGTCCAGACTCGATCGCTTGCAAGCGATGGGTTGTTTACAAGAAACCCTTGAATAAGCGGAAAAGCGCAATGTACCCGGTGTTTTACCACGCTTGCAAGGAGGCCGTTTCGATGCATAAGCTCCGACTGCGTGAATGGATTTATTGAAATATAACACATGGATGGGCGTGGGCTGCGCGCTCCTCTCTGCTAGTAGTTTACTCCCATATATATTTTATACAAACATAGATACTTGACTGTTAGAAAAGGTCAAAAGATCATCCAAGCTGATAAATAGTTCCCGATTTTCTGGCGAAATGTTACTTTCATGTGTTTGTTTGTTGTATATATCATAAATCAGAGATACTCCAGCTACATGACGGCAGTCTGTACATAATCGTACATAAGCAGTGACCAATAGCATGAGTATCGATCTACGCAACTGGGATACGATGACGTGTCAACCAAGTCAGCGAGCCTGACCATCATGGGCACACAGAAGGTAAACGTGTTCATGAAGCACTCTGCTGTCAGAGGTTAAGATTGATGACCCCAAATATATGAGAAGTCAGATGTTGTGTCGTTAATGATATTGAACTATTTGGACACGAGTGTTACACTACACCTAGATATGGGTGAGTTGGGTTTTACGCCGCTTTTAGCAATATTCCAGCAATATCACGGCGGGGGCCACCCGAAATGGGCTTCACACATTGTACCCATGTGGGCAATCGAAAGCCTGAACCGCTAGGCTACCCAACCACTCCGCATGACATGATAAATACATGGTTGAGAGAAGTAAAGACTTACCGTTTGACATCAATACTTTGGTTTGATTCTGCCGCCTTAACAAAGTTATTTGTAAGTATACAGGCGCATTGATCTATTCGGTCGCACATCTGAAATACAATTTCAGAAAATACTTGTAAAATATTCGTTTCTCTTCACGTACTGAAAAAATCGGGAATAAATACATAACTGAAAATATTCTTACCAGGCGAAGTTTGGAGCCACTAAATGTTGGCGTTACAATATTCCTGATTCGTTTCCAGTTGGTGCCTTTCTCAAGGAGGAGACTTTTGTCCACTGGGTAGTTGTCTAGGTCAATATTCTGTAAGGTAAACAAACATTATGTATGTAGAAGTGAGTATGTGATTATTCCATTCACGAGAGAGTGAGCAAATTATGTAACTGTAACAATTTTAACTGTTGAGAGAGAGAGAGAGAGAGAGAGAGAGAGAGAGAGAGAGAGAGAGAGAGAGAGAGAGAGAGAGAGAGAGAGAGAGAGAGAGAGAGAGAGAGAGAGAGAGAGAGAGAGAGAGAGAGAGAGAGAGAGAGAGAGCAAATAAGGATATACTGACTGTTCTGTCTGTGAAGTGCTGGAAATCCTTGATCAAGATCTCTCTTGCAATTTCCGGGTCCTTCACTGTGATCATCGGTAGTCCACCAAGAAAAACCCTTGAAAGACAACATCACATCGTATGGTGCTTCTGTAGGCTTAATATTGAGTAAGTGAAGGAGAAACTTTCAGTATGATCGATTAATATCAACCTTAACCGACAATCTTGACCGTTGCTCTCACTATCGACCACAGGTTTATCTTGACAAGGCTCGATTATTCAAAGGCCTTCGCCACGAAGCTGGACTATTGAGCGGTTTCAAATAAACAAATAACAAACAATACATACATTATAATACACGAACAAGTGGTGGTACAACTGAAAGAGAACAACACGTCATGGGTGGCATCATTTAGTCTAAAATAATGAGCAAGGGAGGGAGTAGAGTTTAAGGCCATTTTGAGCGCCGTCAATATCTCTGTTATTAAGGGCATATTCGATGCTTGTGGAAATCGATAGCTTGATAGTCTGACTTGAGTTTGGATTTACGCCGCTTTTAGCAATATTCCAGCAACATCACGGCGGGGGACACCAGAAATGGGCTTCACACATTGTACCCATGTGGGGATTCGAACCCGGGTCTTCGGCGTGACGAGCCAACGCTTTAACCACTAGGCTACCCCACCGCCCCAGATTGATAGTCACAAAAGCACAAATAGTAGAATAACTAAGCGGAATCTATGGCATTTTCAACAGGGCTGCCATGGTCCCATTCCGTTAGAATTTAAACCTAAAGATATAACACCGAAAGAGGACATACCCGAATACTTTACCATACTTTTCCCAGTCTTTGTTGTTCGGACCCTGAAACAAGGAGTGAGTGAGCTTACTTTTACGCCGCTTTTAAGCAATATTCCAGCAATATCACGGTGGGGTAAACCAGAAATGGGCTTCACACATTGTACCCATGTGGAGAATCGAAACCGGGTCTTCGGCGTGACGAGCGAACGCTTTAACCACTAGGCTACCCCACCGCCCCCCTGAGTTATTTGAATCTTTGTTAGTGTATATGTTAAAATACAAGAAAATAGTTTCCACGACATTCATCAACTTGTAATGAGAAGCAAGAATACGATGTAAATGTGAGCTACGAACCTTATTATTCTTTCGGGCAAACAATATTCACAACCATTACGTTTGAAGACGGTCCAATCGAGATTAAACTATGATCTCACCTTTAGAACAAACTGATGGAAGTTCCCGATATAAATCACAGGCTCCGGACCAGGAATACCAGCATCCTTGAACAAACGGTTCCTCTTCTTTCCATATCTGAACATAATGTAAGACACATGCAGATAACAAGGTTAGGTATTGCCAAGCCAGCTGCAATATGATACTTCATTTTACGAAAATGATTTGTACTTTTGAAACAAATATCCATCGAATATTAGTAACAAACTTTTTCATAAGAAGGAAAACGTTAAGAGGTTTTTGTAATATAATAACTTTAGGTCTTAATTCAGATGAACGTATCTCACAGTGGGTAAATTAGATAAACATTACAACAGAAACTTACAGATATTAGATCCTTTATGTGTGGAGGCCATAAGAAAGGAGTTTAGTCAACTATCTCTTTCTTATTATAAACCAGTGCATGTTTATTTGGAGATATATTTGTACTGACTTCAATATGAATTCCGATAAAGCGTCATACCAAAAGACGTTAAAATATGGTACTTGTTGGTCCCTGCCTGCCGATCGGCATTAATGGGTACATACAACAAAGACTGGTCGGCTCGGAGTCAATATGTGTCTGAGTGGGGTATTCATGTATAAATGCGTCATGGTATCTCAGTGAGCTAGCACTAGAAAACCAGCACAGATACACACTCATGCACGTCGTCATATGAGCGCCCAATTGCGCAGATCAATGCTCATGATGTTGATCACTGGATTGTCTGGTACTTACTCGATTATTTACAGACCGCCGCCATATGGCTGGAATATTGCTGAGTGCGACGTAAAACTAAACTCACTCACTCATATGAGCGAAATATTCTTAAGTGCGACGTTAAACCCCATTTCACCTCACCCCACCTCATCTCACTTCACCTCCAAATAACATCTGAATCAAGAATAAATAACACTAATCAAGCATTCACAATTCACACCCTTCACTCCCTCAGGACTTTAAACTGTGCAGTTTGTCTCCACTTTATTCCCTCACACACACACCCTCCCCACCACCCTCTACATTTCATTTACACAATAAACGGGGGCATTTTCTTCTATAATACGATGTCACATAAATATATTAATGAAAAAAAGGAAGAAACTGATTCACTAAAGTACATTTATTGACATTGTACCTTTCTCACTTTCACAATTTGAGGCAAAAATGCATCCGTGCTTGTGATATGACCCCTTTGACATTTCTTGACAGGCTAACGGCCTTGACCTTGTCAAAAATGCCTGTCTTGCCACTGTGGGGCTGTCTTTAGAAGGAATGATATCCTGTCAATATTCATTAAAGCTCATAAGTGAATCAGTTATCCAATAATTTTACTTACGCATAAATCAGAAACAAAACCGCTATCCACAGAATCCATGTTGGAGAGATATCAACACAGCCGAGTATCTCCATCAGGAAGTGTATCCAGGCAAATCGTACTTTTCCGAGAAAAACAACAACCCTGAAACAGCTCAACGAAGAACAGTGTCCTAGTGCTGGTTCCCGAACAACAAAGTGCCGCTAGTGACGTTCAGTGAACGTTTTGCTGCGCGCTGTAGGCTGATACCTGATCTGCTGGGTTAAATGACGCCCCCATGCAATCTGAGCGATAATGGCTCGGCTCGCTCATGGGGACTGTATCAAAACGGTTTATGGAAATTGTATCAAAACGATTTAGGTACAGGTTAGATCAGTGCTTGATGACCCAGACGCGACTAGACACCAAAGTCCGAGTGATCTAACGTATTTAAACATTGGCAATAGCACAAAGTTGTTCAGTATTTCTGTAAAATAAAACATGTCGGGCGAAATCAGCGAAACGATGTTTTACTTCACGTGGACTTTGGTCGGAGGATCACCCCAAACAGACTACATGTAGTTGTATCATTGTATAAACGCATTCCGGGGATCATAGAGCAGTGCGTGTAGACCTAAACGAGGACTATCAAACCGTAAAGCAAGAACTTGCCGACTGAGTCATTTTCTACACGAATTCAGCGGGTTATTGAAGTCTGACAACAGCCCTTAACCGGGATTGTCTGGACATAAAGCACGAAATGGTCGTGCATTGTTTGGCGTCGCATTTGATAAAAACATGGGGAGAGGTTCAGTACGGTCGCTGATAAGAGAAATGACAGTCAAACAAGTCAGACAAATTAATACCTACATCACGAAGTGTTTAACGTGAAACAGTGGCTGAAATACAACTGAAGTCTAAATCATTAGCGCAGTATTGATGTTATAGAACAGTCAAAAAACGTTGGATAGTACAGAATCAGCCCCCAACAAGGTCAATCTTGGACAGATGTGTAAAAGTGTCAGGGTCCCGATTCGCAAAGCGTTCGTAACATTACGACCTGTCGTAACTCTATAGATTACCACAGTCTTCCAAATGTCGTAGGTCTACAAACGTTTTGAGACCATATACAGGTATATGGTCTCTGTTTAATAGAAAGGGATATGTGTTCATCTACGCTTGTGCACAATACCTACGCATGCTCTATTCATGTATTTGTAATAAGCCTGGGGCCTGTCACAACAAATAGAAGGACTGATAATATGATACAGGCTATTTTTGCCCAAGAGATCTGCAAAATGATACTCCCTGAAACATACATAGAAGATGGGAACTTTGTCATCCCTTAACGTGACCCACACCATGTTACTGATGAGACGTCTTAATACATGGGGAGTATTGCTGACTGCGGCGACACACACCATTCACTCACTCGACAAGGGGCGGTCGGGTGCGTAGCTTAGTGGGTACAGCGTTTGGTCGTCACGCCGAAGTCCCGGGTTCAGTTTTCCAATGGGTACAATGCGTGAAGCCCACATCTTATGTCACCCGCCGTACGTGATATTACTGGAATGTTGATAAAAGCGGCGTAAAACCATTCTCACTCTCTCACCCACTCACTCGACACTGTGGGGTGTCATGGATATTCACGTCGAGATCAATTTTCAAAGCTCTTATATTAGCAACGTGCGTGCGTGCGTGCGCGTGACCCGTGTGTTTGTGTGTGTGCGCCATCGGAGGCATGTGTCAGTGGCTACGTGTGCTACTCCGGTTAAGTTTGAGTTGGTTTCGAGCAACCCATATGCTTGTCATGAGAGGCGACTAACGGGATCTAGACGTCAGGCTGGCTGACTTGGTAGATGAAACAACATAAGAGAGAAATCAACACCCTCAGTTAAATCGTGGTCCCAACTAGTTTCCCTTTAAACGCACATAAAAATAAACAGGCACCGGTTATGTTTCACAAAGAAATATCAAACAGTTTATACTTTACAAACCTGAAACGAAATCTGACAGACCCATTTCCTATTCCCCGCATAACAGTTACTGTGGATGGACCTTTAATGCATCTAAAACGTTTTGAGACACTCCCCTTTTCGCTATCTTGCGAGCGAATCTCCCAGGGAAGACCAAACGTGACCAACCAAACTCTGTCTTGAGCGCGGAACCCGAATTTTATCTGACATGACATTGAATGCACGTCACTGAGTGGATCCCAATAACGTCAGTTTATTATTCGTGAATCACCAAGAGCAGACTGATCTCGGTGTTGTTTTGGAAGCCCATTGTTTTCCTGGAGACACTTCCTGATGGAGATACTCGGCTGTGTTGACATCTCTCCAACATGGATTCTGTGGATATCGGTTTTGTTTCTGATTTATGTGTAAGTAAAATTATTGGATAACTGATCCACTAATAAGATTTGTTGACTATTGTCAGGGTAACACACCGTCGTAAATAACCAAGACAGAAAATAGAGGGACGACCTTCACTGCCGCATTAAATGTCAGAAGGTGAAGGCCGTTTTGCTGCATTCAGATTTTAGAAAGGGGGCATCTCATAAGCACCTACTTAAGTTTGCTTCAAACTGTTGACGTCACTTTTAGATTTGTTTGATTGTTGTTTAACGCCGCACTTAGAATTATTCCAGCTATATGACGGTGGTTTGTAAATAATTGTGCCTGGACCAGACAATCTAGTGAACAATATCATGCATGTCGATCTACACAATGGGATACGATGTCATGTGTCAACCAAGTAGGGGCGGTGGGGTAGCCGAGTGGTTAAAGCGTTGGCTCGTCACGCCGAAGACCCGGGTTCGAATCCCCACATTGGTACAATGTGTGAAGCCCATTTCTGGTGCTTCCCGTCGTGATGTTGCTGGAATATTGCTAAAAGCGGCGTAAAACCAAACTCAGTCAGTCAGTCAGTCAACCAAGTAAGCGAGCCTGACCACCCAATCCCGTTTTTCGCTTCTTACGAAAATCATGAGGTTGATGCCACTTCTAATCCGGATCTCTATTATGTTCAGATATGGAAAGAAGAGGAACCGTTTGTTCAAGGATGCTGGTATTCCTGGTCCGGAGCCTGTGATTTATATTGGGAACTTCCATCAAATAATTCAGCACGTGAGCTCAAGTTTAATCTCAAACATACCTTCTTAGAAAAGAACAATAAGGTTCATCGTTCACTTTGACTTAAAACCCCAGATTGCATCAAAAGTAAAACTCTCTTGGATATATAAGTATGATATTCCTATTCTGAATATGTTAGAGAACATGAATAAATTTGTATGCTGAGTCATCAATACAAATATTATCCCCCAAAACATCCGTGACACCAAACTACTTTTGTTCGGGATGTAATATATGATACATGTCTCGACAAAATACAATACAGGCCATTTTGACATTTTCACCTGCATGTTGATGATTGTCAATGTTTTCATTTGAAAGATACATATCAAAGATGGCATCTTGTTACAGGGTCGGGGACGGTGGGATAGCCTAGTGGTTAAAGCGTTCGCTCGTCACGCTGAAGACCCGGGTTCGATTCCCCACATGGGTACAATGTGTGAAGCCTATTTCTGGTGTCCCCGCCGAGATATTGCTGGAATAATGTTAAAAGCGGCTTAAAAGCATACTCACTCACTGTTACAGGGTCTGGACTTTGACAACAAGCACTTCAAACAGTATGGTAAAGTATACGGGTATGTAGATCCGTCGGGCTTATCTCCCCTTGGTTTAAATCATACATAAACGGGAGTATGACAGAGACTTTGAGAATGTCATATGATCGAAGTCACCCTCATGTGTGCATGCATAATTGTTATTCTTAATTTGTCTGTTTGGTTCTCTATCTTAACACTCGGCAATACTCCAACCATATAACGGCGGCCTGGATTTAATCCAGTCGGGGTGGGTGGTGTGGTAGGTGGTGTGGTAGGTGGTCGTAGCCTAGTGGTTAAAGCGTTCGCTCGTCACTCTGAAGATCCGGGTTCGATTCCCCATATGGGTACAATGTGTGAAGCCCATTTCTGGTGTCCCCTGCTGGAATATTACTAAAAGCGACGTATTACCACACTCACTGTCATTGTAATCCAGTCTGGACCAGACAATCCGGTGATCGATATTGTGAGGAAGTTTCCAATTCCTCGAGTTATTCATCATCATCAAATCTATATTACGTATGAAACCACAGACCCATATACATATGCATATTCCAAACAGGTAAGAAGGCGTCACCGTAAAACGGAAGCAGTTTCTCAAAATGCATGCATTACCTGTCAACCAGCATAGATTATCTTACAACACCAGTAAAATATATTAGTAGCATATAAACGTATAGGTGGACTGAAATGTTTAGATTTTTAATACCTATTTTCTATATATTTTTGTACTAATTTAATCAACTAATCACTGAAATGAGCCTGATCACCAGATCTATACTTTGGTTTTCCTCTTTTGAATTTGAGTAATATGGGTAAGGTTTGTTTTGAAAGTGATGACATCGTTATCATTTACCAAGAATGCTGATGTTTATACGTTGTCAGCTGACAGTGCAGAGTTATCTCCCTTAGAGGACGTGATCATCAGTTCAAATCCAGAATCTTCCTGGTTATGGTTCTTCAGCTCCATACACGTGCGCCTGAGTAATGTCTATAAATTCTTTATTCGGACCTCCTCCCCCATGAAGCAGTCTCTACTCCCTCACTCACTCAATCATTACTTCCTGCTAAACAAACCTGCTGTCTTTTCAGGGTTTTTCTAGGTGGACTTCCGATGGTCAGTGTACTGGATCCCGACATTGCCAGAGAGATCCTGATCAGGGATTTCCAGCATTTCACGGACAGAGTAGTAAGTATTTAGTTGTTGGAATCTGAATATATATGTTTTCTATATTTTTATACATGTCCTTTAGTCTTTTAGGTCCCATTGAATGTCTATGATATGTTTAGATGTGGTCAAACGGTACATTTATCTTGCCTGTTGCATTCAAACACTTGTCAGGAAGTCTATGTGCAAATAACATGTGTTACATGTCTGTTTAAGATATCACTGTTTTAGAGAATGAATGTGTATATTATGTTTGGAAATGTTACAATGAATACGTACAGTATGTTTGAGAATGTTACAGTGATTACATACAGTATGTTTGAGAATGTTACAGCGAATATACTCAGAATGTTTGAAAATGTTACAGTGTATATATTCAGAATGTTTGAGAGTGTTACAGTGTATATATGCAGAATGTTTTACAATGTTACAGTGTATATATGCAGAATGTTTGAGAGTGTTACAGTGTATATATGCAGAATGTTTGATCACCATACAGATATTGGACCTGAGCAACTACCCAGTGAACAAAAGTGTTCTCCTTGAGAAAGGCGCCAACTGGAAACGAATCAGGAATATTATAAGCCCGACATTCAGTGCCTCCAAACTTCGCCTGGTAAGAGCATTATTCAGTTTATTTATTCAGTGCATAATTTCAATCCAGGGGCTAGCCTAGTGGTTAAAGCATTCGCTCGTCACGCCGACGATCTGGCTTCGACATGTGTCTCGCCCATTTCTGAGGCCCTTTGGCGTGATATTGCTGGAATAGTGCTAAAAACGGCGTAAAACCAAACTTACTCACTCACTCACTCACTATTTTAGTCCAAGAAGAGAAACAATACGCAAGTCGTTCTTACGTACAAGAAACATCAACACAAGGGGTGGGACAAGGAGTCGTTCTAATTGGCCTTTTCGTTCACAGTATTTTCTGTATTTGACTGAGATTCAAACTTTACGTACTTTAGGTCACGTGGCTTCGTTTGTAGTATAAACACATTATCTTACGGAACAAACAATACAACCTCGAGGAGCGATATATACGTACGTATTTGTCAAATGGAATATTATAGCAGCACGGAAAAAAGGTCGCCCAGATGCCCCAGGCATAGACTTTACTATGTAGAGTTGTGTCCATTTGCATGCCATGATCCTTTGCGATGGAACATGACCAAGTGTAGAGTTAAACAACAGTCAACAGTCAATCTAAGGCCTGCATCACGTTCATACTGAGCTGAAGAGACTGAACTGATGTAAAGATCGGCGTTAAACGCAACTCACTCACTCATTCATTCACCCAAACACGCACGCACGCACCTGTGTTTTGGTGTTTTTGCAAATATATGCGGAATCAATGACTGGTTTGGTAATTTCCAAGTTTTCTTACAGATGTGCGACAGAATAAACCAATGCGCCGATAAACTAACAACCAACTTTGTTAAAGCAGCGGAATCGAACGAGAGGATTGATGTCAAAGGGTAAGGCGAACCTGTTTACTTCTCTCACACCTTTTTTATTATTTTCCAATTCGTATACTTCTAAAAAGAAACCTCACACTCATGTCCAAATGAAACAACAGGATAAAGGACGCAGCATCTGAACCCATATGTTTTTGTGCATAAATCTCAAACCAGACACCAGACTGCCTCACGAAGACTTACCTTCTATGCGACCCGGCTTATGTCAGTGCAAATGTCCGTAGTTGACACGCTTGTGTCCAGTTTGCAGTCTATCTGTTGAATATCATTTCATACTGACATCTAAGCATTATATTCAACAACGTAATGTTCCTTTTCAACACCTGTGTAAGAAATTTCCACCTAATAATTTTTTTTAAATGTTGGCGTTTAAGAGGACGATTTGTCAAATCTGCAGTGATATGTTATAAAGCATATCCAAAGATACCAATTGTCCTGAAAGTTTATTAAATGACCATTGAAACTCTCGTGAAAACGTGTGAAAATTAACTGTATTCATGCACGCACGCACGCACGCACGCACGCACGCACGCACGCACGCACACACACACACACACACACACACACACACACACACACACACACACACACACTTTCTAAAAAAATCAGTATCCGCCCCTGCATATGTAAAGGGGCATGGTGTCGTAAAATCCTTTATATTGCCTTTTCTTTTGGTAAATTGCTTTTACACAAATATACCATATTTGACTCTGTTGGCTTTTCGGTTTACATGTTGTGTTATATTCGACGTATACCATAACAACTGTATTGTTTTATAAAGAAAGTCCATGTGATGCTCAATGATTAATTATGTGAACTTCATCACAGATACTTTGGTGCATTCACAATGGACGCCATAGCAAGCACAGCGTTTGGGATCGAAGTGGATTCCCAAAGTGACTTCAAAAATGCTTTTGTTGAGGAGGCAAAGAAGTTCTTTGGGCAAGGAATCTTAAACCCTGTTATGATGATTATTAGTAAGTGAGTAGCGTGCTGTGGCTAATTTAGGGATTCCACAGTTGTGGTCGAAGCTCAGGAAATGTGCACATGCTTGATCAAGTACTTACTGAACATACATAGGCAGCATAGTTTGATCACTGGTATATTGAAGGTAAGGTTTTTGATCAGTTGTTTTGTGAATGTACACAGACATTGGATCAATTATTTACTGATCGGAGATAGGCAGCAAAGTTTGATCACTGGTATATTGAATGTACTCAGGCCTTTGATAATTTTTTTAGTTGAATGCACAGTGTCAGGTGACGTTTGATAATTTTTTCAAGGACTACACAGTAGATTGGATCAGTTGTTTAAGAATTGTCGCTAGATACCTTAAAGGCTTTCATAGTTTCAGTTTGAAATTGGAAGAGCCTCTCCTGCCATTTAATATCAGTGTTTCTGACGGACGGTCTAAATTTACAGCTAGCCAGCCCGATGGTCTTTTTAAAAATGTTAGATAAAATGTTCCATGCATCTGAGTAAATTCACCATATCTTAAAATCTATTTTTCAAATTGAGCGTTACATTTACTTGACGTTAGTTGTCAATTATTAATCATTCATTATAATAAAAATTGAGTAAATTTCTTTGGATTGTCTGGTCTGGTTAAATCCATGGCTGGCTGGGTGTGGGCTTATTTCATACACTGTTAATATCCACCATTTACTTAAGTCACAACAAGGCTCATCAATACAAGTACAGCAATGTTAAATGCCCAGTTCTACGATATCCCTAACGCTGTGGAGGAAGTGAGCAAAGGATGAACACCATCACATCGTACTATTGGATGTTTCATATTTATGACACATCTTCAGAGACATTATTTTTCATTGTGTTATTTGTTTTTATACTCATAAATTATTACACAGTACACATTGGGGTGTCAAATCAGAACAGGGGTTTGCTATCTGAATAATGAAACATTTGAATCATGTTAAAATAATCGAATTGATACCAGTTACATTGATGATTGAGTACTTTCAAACGTAGTATCGTTGATAGATTACATTTCCTGTTACATGATTGAAGAATGTTAAAATGCTTTCTCGGTGTTTATATACTGAACAACAAAAGAAACGCAACTCTGACTTTGTGTCAAGTTTTTAAATAGAATACATAAACATGAACGCTTACTTTTATGAGATTTTATTTTGTCGAAACCTGCGTTTCTTTTGCTGTTCAGTTTATAATATATTCAAAACTACAAAGCGTTTTATGAAGGGCAAAGCACGAAATTGATGAATAAATATGTGAAACATAAATCTCAAATGGAAAGTGTATCTCCTTGATCTATTGTGTACCAGTTACATTATGATTCACCACTATCAGGTTTGGTGGCTTTGGTAGCTTGACACATTTATTGTTATTGAATAATTGCTGTTGAATGTGACTTTTATTGTCATTTCCAGTGATTTTCCCCGCACTCACTCCCTTCTTCAGAGCTTTAGGTGTGAGCGGTTTTTCAAAGAGCACTCTAAAGTTCTTCACGAAGGTACTGAATGAAATGATTGAACAACGCAAGACTGATTTAAGGAACGGAAAGGTAAGTACACAAGCGCTGGTGAATTTGGAATTCTCATCGTATCTCGTGTTTCCTCTAAACGTTTAACAGATAGATGAGAATTCCGGAACTTATTTATCGTTGTATACAGTGTTTTCTCTATGCATTGAACTGAAGAGCCCGTGGAGGTGAATAATTGTCCATGTATACATATTCTAACTGTCACGCAAGAGAACTATTAAACGATTGAAAATTTCATTTGCGTTTTAAGAAATTGAATGTGCTTAGAAACACGGAAGGAAATCTCATTCGTTTTATCTCTTATGCTTTCTCTCACTGTCTTGTTGGTCGGAATAATTACAGTTTCATACACGTGGTGTGAATGTAAGAGTCACCCTTTCCCTCATTCTGTTGTAGATGAAACGACAAGACTTCTTCCAACTTCTGATGGACGCAGAGGATGATGGGACTGATGAAAACCCCAGTCCAGAGTGGATCTCAAAGCAAAAGTTTGTTTCCGTTGTTTTGCTTCTGGTCGTGAAAGTCCTACAGTGCTGAGTTGGCTTATGTATTTTAAAGAAGGGGCAGTCAGAGTGGATCTCAAAGCAAAAGTTTGTTTCCTTTGCTTCTGGTCGTGAAAGTCCTACAGTGCTGAGATGGCTTGTATATTTTAAAGAATACAGCAATTAATACTCCCTTGTTGTAACCCGTGTTAGGTGGTATAAACCTACACATGTTATTTGTCATCATTCACTTGATGGTCAGTTAATGAATTTATAACAGGTATAATTAGTGGTAACACACTTAGATTACCCTACAAAGGTTCCCATTTGGCATTTCTTGTGTCTGGAGTAAATATTCAACTTTATGAACATCGATCAAAGGATTAACCGATAACACGCTGATTGATTAATTACTTTTATCTTACACAGCGGAATTGTCAAAAGGTAGTGTTTATGTATGTAGATTTACTAATCTATACTGAATACACTCTGCCGTGTCGGTGTCTGCGTAAAAACAACGTCCTTCTTTCAAAGGATTAACCGGCAATATATTGATTGATTGCCCATTATTGGCTAACTAAATTACTGTTTTTAATGAAAGGCGGACATTATGCAATTAGTTGCCAGGTGTGCTATCTTGGGTGACCAATGAGAGTATACACCAATACCTGAAAAGATTTATCACTTTTTCGTATATTAAACTGTTAAAAGACACATCATTTGGAACAGTTTTGTGGATATTGATGGATACATTCCTCAAACAAGGTAATGGCCTGATATTGTTCCTATAACTTTAATCTGTTTTAATTTTAATATTTGCATTTTGTTTTTTAATCATTTGTCGTAGCATTCAACAGAATCATTGTTTTCGCCGTGAAGTGTAATGAGACAGACGACATACACTAGGGTGTGTGTGCGAATTATGATTCACATTGGCAAACTATAAAATGTCTAGATATTACAGTTCTGTTATAAATTCACTATAAGTATCAGCAGATCGTCAGCTTTTTATTTAGTTTCAAAATGCATAAAAGTATGATAATAAACTAATTAGGATTATAAGACCAAATATAAAGACGCACATTGACTAGTATCTACATACTGGTGAGTGGACATTAACCATGTGAATGTAGCAAGAAATTTATCGCGCAGTATTGTGTCTTCGACCCCCACCTCGCTTCCGTGGAAGAAATCGTTATGTTATAAGTTGTGTCATGCAAAATCCTTTTGGCTATGATTCCAATACATATTTAACTACGAGTAGAAAGTAGTTTTGATTTTCTAACTTGATGAAAACAAACTATAATTTCATTAATTCTAACAGACTTTACGATTTTCAAAAATGGCGGCGCCCTGTCGGGAACATCCGCCAGTCTGTGGATAAATGCTATTTAGGTTTGTTTTCACCGAGTTACAAAATCAAAACTACTTTCTACTGGTAGTAAAATATGTATTTTATTGATGGCCAATAGGATTTTGCATGACATAGCGTATAACATAACAATTTCTCTCCTGGCAGCGAGGTGGGTGTCAATATAATACTACTTACAATATTATTGTTACTTCGACCACAACCTCACTTCCGAGGAAGAAATCGTTATGTTACAAGTTGTGTTATGGAAAATCTTTATGGTCATCAATCATATACATATTTTACTATAACTAGTAAGTAGTTTTGATCTTCTTTAACTTCCGTGAAGCGATCTGAACACAAGTAAGATATCGTTTCAGGCTTCCACAACGCTCGCTTCGCACTCACAAACATAACCCATTTAGCACGAACTGCGGGATCCTGTGGAAATCTGTGCATGGTGACACCATCACCCCACCCCTAGGAGCAATTGACGACAAAGCAACGATTCGGCATGTCGTCGTTCATGTCGAGAAATCATCAAAATGATGAGCGTGCTACACACTTTCTATACAACTAACTGAAAATCGTTCCTCATATGACGTCACTGCAGTGCTCTGGCGACAGAGTTACGTAACCTGTCTGTGGTTTCGTTGGCGGGCGAGAGGGAAGCAGGCGACTTTTTGGCCACTTTTAATCGCTCGGTATTAATTAACCACAAGTTTTTAAAGAATAAATTTGGTGTTCCGCATAAGACTAACCACAAATCTTTCATATGTAATGGTTAAAAGAGTAACAAAAAACAAAGTTTAGTGGTTCTTTAAAGAAGGGGCAGTCAGAGTGGATCTCAAAGCAAAAGTTTGTTTCCTTTGTGTGAAAAGTCCTACAGTGCTGAGATGGCTTGTATATTTTAAAGAAGGGACAGTCAGAGTGGATCTCAAAGCAAAAGTTTGTTTCCTCTGCTCCTAGTCGTGAAAGTCCTACAGTGCTGAGATGGCTTGTATATTTTAAAGAAGGGACAGTCAGAGTGGATCTCAAAGCAAAGGTTTGTTTCCTTTGCTCCTTGTCGTGAAAGTCGTACAGTGCTGAGATGGCTTGTGTATTTTAAAGAAGAGGCAGTCAGAGTGGATCTCAAAGCAAAAGTTTGTTTCCTTTGCTCCTTGTCGTGAAAGTCCTACAGTGCTGAGATGGCTTGTGTATTTTAAAGAAGGGGCAGTCAGAGTGGATCTCAAAGCAAAAGTTTGTTTCCTTTGCTCCTTGTCGTGAAAGTCCTACAGTGCTGAGTTGGCTTGTGTATTTTAAAGAAAGGGCAGTCAGAGGGATCTCAAAGCAAAAGTTTGTTTCCTTTGCTCCTTGTCGTGAAAGTCCTACAGTGTTGAGTTGGCTTGTATATTTTAAAGAAAGGACAGTCAGAGGGATCTCAAAGCAAAAGTTTGTTTCCTTTTGTGAAAAGTGTCCTACAGTGCTGTCATGGCTTACGTATTTTAAAGTGAGTTAAGTTTTACACCGCACTCAGCAATACTCCAGCTAAATGGCGGCGGTCTGTAAATAATCCAGTCTGGACCAGAAAACCCAGTAATCAACACTCAACAACATGAGCATCGATGTACCCAATTGGGATACGATGACATGTGTCAACCAAGTCAGCGAGCCTGACCACCCGACCCCGTTAGTCACCTCTTACGACAAGCATAGGTTACTGAAGATCAATTCTAACTCGGATTTTCACGGGTATTTATGTATTTAAAAACAAAGGGCAATCAGAGTGGATCTGAAAGCAAACGTTTGTTTCCGTTGTCGTATTGCTCCTTATCGTGAAACGAATCTCACAATGTGGAGATGGCTGATATATTTTGAAGAAGGGGTCAGTGGAATATGTGTTTATTATGCCGTAAAAACTTAAACGACTTGACTCTCATTTTTCGATACGTACACGTACAAATCCGGACGGGTCAGTAAATCTCCACAGTCACTGGACAACTGGATAGTGAATTTTCATGGGGTCATTTTGTAAATATATCACTCTCTCCGACTTGTTAAGTTGTAATACACTTTTTAATCATGCATGATTATGGCCTCAAAAAATGCTCAGTATATTAGCAGCTTAATGATGAAACACGCGTCATGCCGACAATATCTTATTCTCATCTATTGTTGTAATCTTTTGCTTAGTCTGTTCATTCAAATTTCGGGCTAGTGAAATATTTTGTGGGCTGGTAACTTTCAGGCATAGCTAGCCCGATTTTACTAGCAGAATTTGAAAACTATGTCGCACACTGTACGGATCACGCTGCTAAGTGTAACTAAACTTACTTTAACTTTACCAAATCTGTTGTGGGCTGTTTCTCCAGGGTCCTTTATAATCATGGCCATAGAAAATACTCGGCCAATGAAGTGAATTTTTTCCAACAAATTTAGACGTAATACATGTTCCCTTCTGTCGCAAATGTTGTACTCTGTGTTGACTATATGCAAAGATAAGCACAACTGCATTCCATTTTTTCTCCATTCCAGAAATGACCAACGACGAAATACTTGGACAGGCTTTGTTATTCTTCATTGCTGGATACGAAACTACGGCAAACACCCTCCATTTTGTTGCCTACTCTCTGGCTAGGAACCCGGATGTACAACAGCGGCTCACTGAAGAAGTCGACTCGGTTTTGGGAGACGTACGTAATTTTAAAAACAACAACATCTTGTTTCTCTTAACCGTGACACTGACCCACAAAGACACGCCACGCCACTCGACGCCACGCCATGCCACGCCACACCACGCCACGCTACATCACGTCAGTTGAAAATCGAAAGATTTTTATCGGCCCTAATCTACATATTCCGGAAACGAAAATAGATAATGTTTCTGATAGGTATAGATAGATTATCGAGTTAGGTGCTGATAAAGGGCTATTTATTGAGGAATCTGGGATCGGATATCAGAACAAGGGCATCCTATCAACAAAGGGACATAACTCTCCACAGCGAGTTGGAGCACATAGACCAACGTGTCCCGCAAATATGATACGATAAAGTTCTACGAAGAGATCTGACGACGGACCCTTCAGGAGGTTGCACCAGGCTAATACTAAGCACATTTTGACTGCCCGATGTAAGTGACGACTACCACGCTCAGAAATGTCTGGATATGTAAATGATCCTCAGCATGATAGCGGGGCTCTAATTTGTTACATTCTGGCTACTCTGGGTATATTTGTTTTGAAGAAACGGAAATCACATATTTGTCTGATATCTTTCGACTAATTTAGAGGTCTCGATTCTGGCAGGCTGATTTGATGGTTTAACGACCGCGACTTCTAATGCCAGGTTTCCCAGACCTTTAGGTTCATATACCGTATGAGAGAGAGTGAGTGAGTGAGTGAGTTAGCAATATCCCTGCAATATCACGGCGGGAGACAACAGAAATGCGCCTCACACATTGTACCCATGTGGGGAATTGAAAACGAGTCTTTTGTGTGAGGAGCGAACACTGTAGCCACTTAGCTACCCCACCGCCCCTCGTATGGCAGTAAAGTTCACGTCTTGATAACAGTCTCCCCGTATAGTGCCATCGACCCGTGAAGATCCGGGGTAAAATAGTTCTTCAGCAACACATGCTTGCCACAAAAGGCGACTATGCTTGTCGTAAGAGGCGACTAACGGGATCGGGTGGTCAGGCTCGCTGACTTGGTTGATACATGTCATCGGTTCCCAATTGCGCAGATCGATGCTCATGCTGTTGATCACTTGATTGTCTGGTCCAGACTCGATTATTTACAGACCGCTGCCATATAGCTGGAATATTGCTGAGTGCGGCGTAAAACTAAACTCACTCACTCACTATGGTGCCATCAACACAAGACATGAAAACTTCGTGAAATAGGAGCCAAACTCTTGTTTCACTTTATTTTACTCATCCCTCTTTCAGGGAGTTTTTAAAAGCACAAATATCTATATAACCAATGTCCTGACATGAGACATTTGTGTTTCAGAAAACTCCAGACTATGACAATATTGGCGGCCTGAAATACATGGATCACGTGATCATGGAGACTCTCAGACTGTATCCTGCTGTAACCGCGTAAGAAATTATTTACTAATCTTCTACCATAGCACAGTTTTCATACGGAGTTTTTCAGTGCAGAAATAAACTCGAAAAGATTCTTTGGTAAATAATGCTAGCGTTCTCACTATTGGGTAATAGTGAAACTGAATACATGTAGATTGCTTATTAGTGGTCAGTGAGTGAACAGAAATCAAAACCCATACAGATCAAATTAATTATTGCTCCTCTATATGGCCATCTGTTTGCTGTATCAGGCCACACTCAGTGAGTGAGTGAGTGGAGTTTAACGACGCACTCAGCAATATTCCAGCTATATGGCGGCGGTCTGTAAATATCGAGTCTGGACCAGACAATCCAGTGATCAACAGCATGAGCATCGACCTGTGCAATTGGGAACCGATGACATGTGTCAATCAAGTCAGCGAGCCTGACCACCCGATCCCGTTAGTTGCCTCTTACTACAAGCATGGGTTATTGAATCGAGCAGGGTTGGGGTAACTTGGACAGTTTACATCGGAAGTCTTTCAGTGATAAAAAATACACGGACTAGCTTTTTTTGTTGAAAATAACACCAACGTTTTGACGTTTACGTAATAATGAATAAACTGTTAGTTTGTGCTGAGTAAATGAATAGAAAGATACCCAGCCAGATCAAGGTTCAACGGATGTTCCATGATACTGTAATCTGAGATCATCGGACGGTTAACATCTGAAGTCTTTCCTACATTACGCCCCGTAATACACCCCATAATACGCCCGAGCACATTACTGATGGGCGTTAATCATAGGCGATTACAATGGGCTCAGTTCGAATCCCATGTCGCTCGTACTATGTTTGGAACCAGACCTGTCTGAAACATGCATCAATTCTGGTGAAGTATATATATATTGTAATTATAAAATTAAACGAGACTTACCTGTAAGGTGAAGTTTGATAGTAATTCCACAGACCTATGACATACTGAGGTATCACATGCCCACCTCTCCCACCCTAAGAACAGACCATTATTTCATGCGTTGAAAAACTGACCTCTATGCGCATGCGCATCTCATGTGATACCTCAGTATGTCATAGGTCTGTGGAATTACTATCAAACTTCACCTTACAGGTAAGTCTCGTTTAATTTTATAATTCCACATCCCTACTCCCTACTGAAGTATCCCATGAGATGTTCAGAGTAGACCATTATTTCATATCAAGTCATTAGTATACAAAACATGAAACGAATTTGGTCACAACATTTACTCTATATCATTTAATAGCCCATGAACTTGAAAACATACATTTGGGTATCTTTAAATAACAGTCATTTAAACTTTTACCCAATATCAATAGCCTGCAAAAGAGCTTCACTATATTCAGTACTAGTGTCTATAGGCTTGTCATAATGTTTTCTGAACACACACTCGGAGCTCCAGCCTGCTGTGCGCAGAATTGTTTGTAACTTGACTTTTGCGGATGCTGCTGCACTAGTAGAGGCCATCCGCACACTGTGTGGTTTGAATATTGTCATGTTAATACCTGCACTAGCCAACACTAGTTTGATCCATCTTGAAATTGTGTCCTTGCTCACTTGTTTATGTGGTTTGGACAAAGCAATAAACAGTGCAGTTCCTGCACCTCTGAGGCTCTTGGTCATGTCCATGTATTTCTCTAGAGTACTAACTACACACAGTGAAACATCTGAATATCTAGTAAGAGTCAACTCATGTTGGTGAAAACCTGGCCTTGATTGCTTTAAAATATCACCAAACCTAACTTTAACTCTATCAGGCAAAAACTCAACATTTCTTACATCAATCAAGTTTAAAGACTGAAGTCTCTGTCCTGTCAAAAGTGCCAACAAAGTTACAGACTTCAGAGTCATCCATTTCAAACTGGCACAATCAGCTGACTTAGTCTGAAGATATGTCAACACTTTAGACACATCCCAGGTCACCCCATATCTGGGCAAAGCAGGTCTCAAATTGAATATTCCTTTCAATAGTCTCTTGACTAGGTGATGTTGCCCAACTGCTACTCCGTCAACCAACACAAAGGTAGACAGAGCAGATCTGGCTGTGTTTAACGCTGAATATCCAAGCCCACTGTGGTAGAGCTCAGTTAAGAAATTCAAAACCTGGCTGATAGTTGGTGAAACGGTATTGCAGTGTTCCTTAGCACAAAACTGCATCCATCTTTTGTGATATGACTTGTACTGTTTCTTTGTGGAACCTCTCCATGATTGCAATATGATGTTGACAGCATCTGTCGATAAGCCTTGACTTTGGAGTGATCTCCTGACAGCTTGAAGGCTGTCAGCCGAAGTTTGTTCCACAGCGGATGAATCTTGTTGGGTAGATGAGTGAGAGTCAGGAGTTTCTTGCTCTTGGGTAGGAGTCTGGGACAGTCTATCAACAGTTCCAGGATTCTGGTGAACCAGAATTGTGTGGTCCACAAAGGTGCTATCAGAATGACATCCGCACAATCGTTGTCGATCTTCTTCAGTACTCGGCCAAGTAGACTGAATGGACAAAACACATATTGTAAGTCACCACCCCAAAAACATGTGAACGCATCAACAGCAACACAGTCTGGATCAGGGTGCCAAGACACATAAGGAGATATCTGGAAATTTATCCTACTTGCAAACAGATCAATATGAGGCTTTCCAAATTGTTCTACGATTGCATCAAACGCATGTTTATTAAGTTTCCATTCTGCATCATCAATGAAATTTCGAGATTCAAAATCTGCTTCAGTATTGGTAACGCCGGGTACATGCCCTGCCGACAGCCGAATACCACGGTCTTTAGACCATAGCCACATTTCACGAGTTACAGCATTGCACAATAGTTTAGAACCACCCATGTTATTGACATATGCCACAGCTGTAGTATTGTCCATCATAATTCTAATATGTGTATTGTACTTGTCACTCATTAATGATTTTAGGGCTAACCAGCCTGCCAGAATTTCCAGATAATTTATGTGCATACATTTTTCACTCTCTGACCATAAACCACCAGTGCGAGTATCACCAAACACTGCACCCCAGCCGGAGTTAGATGCATCTGACTTAATAGTAAGTTCAGGCTGCGACTCACTTAAACTCTGGTGCCACTTTCCTACATTGTCTATCCACCACTGAATGTCCTCCCTGCAGTCACCAGACAAACTAATGCTTACATCATAATTCCCCTTGGCCTGTTTTAGCGAGAGATTTTTGAAATTCTCCAGCCGTTTATAAAACAAAGGGGCATATTTCACACCAGGACATGCTGCATTCATTTGTCCCACTAATGTAGCCAATTGCCTAATTGTCACATTTTCTTCACTTAACATTTTTCCACAGTATGAAGCAATCTTTTCACACTTATCGGACGTCAAGTTGACCGTCATAGTTTCACTGTTGAGATCAAAGCCCAAGTAAGTGATTTGCTTGCATGGTGAGAGGACAGACTTCTTTGGATGCACAGTAAACCCTAGCTTATCCAATAAAGATACAGTATCCTTAAGATTTTCTTCACATGCTACATAGTCCTCACCAACCAACAGGGAATCATCTATGTAAGCTGTGTTGGCATGTCCGAGCTTCCTTAAGTGTGAATACACTGGTTTTAACAGTTTAGTGAATATTCTGGGTGCCGAGGACAACCCATTGGGGAGACAAGTAAACTGATATAATGTCTTGTTCCAGTAGAACCTGAGATACTTCCTATCTGCATCATACACAGGAATAGTAAAGTAAGCATCTTTAAGATCCACTGATGCAAAATAACAATCTTTCTTTACCAAGTAAAGGGCGGATTGCAAGGTATCCATTTTGAAGTGGTGGTATTCAATTTTATCATTTAAAGTCCTCAGATTTAGAATCAATCGCAATGATCCATCCTTTTTGGTCTGTGGAAAATATTAGAGATAAATTCCCTTTGAGTGTTCACACCTCTCAATGGTTCCATTAGATAACATTTTCTTAATCTGTTCATTGATCACCAACTGTTCTGCTGATGGAAAATTAATTGGAGTTGGAACAAAATATTGCACAGGTAAGGTATGAAATTCAATATTTACACCTGTTACACTTTTCAGCACCCAGGTGTCACTAGTAATGCCACTCCATACAGACACATACTTGCTAGTATTCCCAGCTTGGAACGAATTGGGTGTATTAGTCAATGTTTTGATACCCGTAGACTCTCTCACCTCAACACTTTTCTTGCTCCCTAGAATCTCTTGTCTCCTCTGCCCCTCTTCTTTCCTAAAAAATATTGCGGCTCACCACGGTTAAAGGCTTTGGAATGGTGCTGCTGGTTGCCTGAGTGACGGTTCATACCCCCTTTGTTTGCCTTCCAGTTCTTGTATGGATGGGGCCTGGAATGGTTGTCAAATTTGGATTTTGGAGGGTGTCCAATTTTTTGTCCAATCATAGAAGATTCAGAGATGTCTTTGATGTGTTTGGAGAGATCATCTCCAAAGAGCCAATTTGTTGTCGGAAGCGGGGCTGAGCAAAGTCTCTTGTAAGCCCCTGTCAAATCAGGTCGAAAGTTTTCCCGGCGTCTTTGATTCATAATTGAGATAGATGCCGTCATCAGCTTAATGCTGTCTGTGCTCTTCTTTAAGAGCTCTCTGACATTGACTTGACCCTTGTCAATGGCAGCCACCATGAGATCATTTGTGACCTGAATCATAGGCATCATTGCCTTCACAACCACATTCTGTATACCTTGCCATTTAGTGTCTCTGTTTTTTGTGTAAGGCTTAGCCTGTAACCATATGTCCTGGTTCACTCTTGGTGTAAGCAAAAAATCACAGTTCTCAGGCCGTTTATACATGTCTGCCACTTCCTTCAGCTTCTTTTGGTTCGCCATTTTTTGTAACCCTTGGTTGATGGACTCAGCCAAAGAAGGCCTTATCTTTCCACTGGTCTCTTCGTTTGCGCTAACGAAGGCCTGTAGGTCAGTTAATAGACCTTTAGCAAAGTCCTCATCATCATCGTCATCACTGTCGTCATTCACCTCTTGCCTATCGAGGTCCCTCATGACCGCGTCCATTGGGTCAGTATCACTGTCAGAAGAGATATCTTCGTACCCTGTCTCATCAGCACCGTTTCCGGCATGTGGCACGTCGGGTCTAGAGACATCAGGTTGTGCCACAACAGGATTAGAGGCAGTCGTCTGATTATACAGAATGGCTTTCATGAAATCCCCAATGTCATTCAGGGTATACAACTGCCTCCCGGCCGACTGACCAGTCGCCGTGTTGACCTCCACTGCACTCGTGCCTGCTGCCGATGTGCTGGTTCTATTTTTAGACACGCCATTGTTTTGGCTGGTCGGCACCGAGTCAAACTCACTCGATGTGCCTTTTATTCACATACTGAGAGTTCTCATGATGATCTCTCAACTGCACTCGTGGTGCTGCCTGGGCTACAATGTCCCGAACATTTTCAAACAAACCTTTGCGGTTTTGCACGTGCGAACTTATTTCGCTAGGTTTGCATGGCTCTTGCTGTTCCGCCATCTTGAACTCTGACCCCGACTCGGGTCCGTGAACACAACACACAACACAAAATCCAAGAATACGTCGAATTAGTCCGTGACAGTGTTGGTACTCACCCTATATCCAGTCTATATAATGAAAGCAACAGATTCCAGTATTCCATGAATTGATCACAATGATAAATCCACAGTTCCAGTCACTTTTCCCCGAATTAACCAACTTCGCGTCAACTTTCCTCAAATGCACACTCGCTACTGACCTCTATGCGCATGCGCATCTCATGGGATACTTCAGTAGGGAGTAGGGATGTGGAATTATAGGCAAAGGATTTGCTTTCAAACCTGGAAAGAATGAAGCTTCAGAATTAAGTGTTTGTCTATATTGATGTCTTTGAGACATCTTGTGATCGGGGCACAAAGACTCGGATGTCAGCTAATTATAGATCCTGGTCGAAAGCTGGATTCGAACCCATGAACATCGCGTCGAGCAGAGTGGTAGCCTAGTGGTTGAAGCATTCGCTAGTAACGCTGAAGACCCGGGTTCGTTTCCCCACATGGGTACAATGTGTGAAGCCCATTTCTGGTGTGCCCGTCCTGATATTGCTGGAATATTGCTAAAACCATACTCACTACATAACTTAAAACACTGAAGAAACATAGTAATCACCGTTACATTAGAAGTAATAAGCAGGTCTAATACACAATACACAGGATACAAGGGTGTATGGGACAGGTGTTGGGTCAGTAATACCACAGACTGTCGATGATGCGTCTGTGGTACATTGACATGTGAAAATCTCGTTGATGACAACACTACATATCTTACGTTTCAGAGCAACACGCGAGGCCACGGAGACTGTCACTATCAAGGGTTACACATTCCCCAAGGGCTGTGCAGTCGTCGTCCCTGCTTTGGGGATACACAGGGATCCTGACATATACCCTGACCCCCACAGCTTTAAGCCTGACAGGTAGGCACCATCACACACACCCCACACACCCCACACACAATATACCCTGACCCACACAGCTTTAAACCCGACAGGTAGGTGCCGTCACACTCACCCCACATACAATATACTTTGACAGTCACAGCTTTAAGCCTGACGTGTAGGTACCATCACACTCACCCCACACACAATATACCTTAACCCTCACAGCTTTAAGCCTGACAGGTAGGTACCATCACACTCACCCCACACGATATATCTTGACAGTCACAGCTTTAAGCCTGACAGGTAGGTACCATCACACTCACCCCACACGATATACCTTGACAGTCACAGCTTTAAGCCGGACAGGTAGGTACCATCACACTCACCCCACACGATATACCTTGACAGTCACAGCTTTAAGCCTGACAGGTAGGTATCATCACACTCACCCCACACAATGTGTTATCTCAAATGAAAAGTATATCTCGTAAATCTACTGTGTACCAGTTACAGTGATGATTCATCACTATGAACTTTAATGGCTTTGAGCCTGACAGGTAGATACCATCTCCCTCTCTCTCTCTCTCTCTCTCTCTCTGACAGGACATCAAAGTGTTCTACACAGTTCTTCTCTTGAGCTATACGGACAGGTGCAGGTAAAAGTGATTGCTTTGATAATCTCGTAGATTTTGTTAACTTTTTTACTGCTCTCTGAATGTATGAATCGTGGGTTTCGTGTGCAGGAGACTTGTTCAACACAGTAGTTACAAATGTTCAGCTGATAATGCACTATTCCTCAATTTAGATGGGAGCGGAAGTCTGAAATGGACCCCATGAATTATCTCCCCTTCGGTCATGGTCCACGTCAGTGTTTGGGAATGAGGCTTGCACAGGTGGAAATGAAGATGGCCCTGGCTCGAATTCTCAGACAGATTCAATTTGTGCCTGCACATGACACATTGGTGAGCAAAAACGATATGGGCGACTAACCCTAATTTTAAGACCTTGACCATGAACTGTTTGACTTTTCAGACAAAACGTGTGAGTATAAGTGTGCATTTGTAAAATACCTAACTATACTCATTTATGTTTCACACAGGTCTCCACTAGCAATCTGCCATTTTGGTTAGTGTTGGTGGGTTAATGTCGCACTAAGCAATAGTCCAGCTATATGACCTTAGTTTGTAAATTATCGTGTGTGGACCAGACATGGAATGATTGACCTCGTGGGCATCTATCAACGCAAATGGGACATGTTAATGTGTGAAGTTTCGCTGTCAAAACTGGGATAACTAGCTGTACCAACTAAGGGTAATTATCAGTCTAAGTAAACTTAGGCTCAGTATTATTCGTTACACTGCTATACTGAGTCTAACAAAACCTTGTGGAAGGTCGCGTAAGGTAACCTTTGAACCAATCAAACGCGAGACGACAGAACGGATTTAACCAATCAGACAACGGCTACTATTTGTACGGTTCGGCGGGACTTACAAAATGTATTTACTCTTCCCCGGTCGCCAACACTGATCTCACAACAAATGAAAACCCGCATAAAACACAGATATATGACCTGCCTTTGGGTTTCTGTTGACATGATTATCGTTAGCTACTATTTCCGCAAGCTGACATCCTTGAATACTGACAAAACGCTATTTTCAGCGTTTGTTTACTCACGGTTGTGGCGTGCTCCATGTGCATCACTCGGAAGCGATCGTACGGAAAATAGCATTCGGAATCGTTCGGGTAAAAAACGTTTTCGAGGTAAAAGTTCAAAAGGTATGTGCGAATGTCAACTTTCGCGATTTGGTAAGCTGTGATCTGATTGGTAAATTGAAAAGGTTACCTGACGCGACCTTCTACTAAGTTTTGTTAGACTCAGTATGGCAGTGTAACGAATAATACTGAGCCTAAATTTACTTAGACTGGGGTAATTATGTGAATGCAATCAACCGAGAGAAGCACAGAAGTATAGCTCTATTGTTTCCTATATCCATACCAGTGTTATGAACAAAACGGGCACGAGAAGAGCTGACAAAGATTTACGAGGAAGAAAGAAGGAATATTTTGGATGGGTATGAAGAAGCAACACCTCAAGAGATTGCAGCCCGACTTCAGATATATGAGAGCATCCAAGTGATACTGTTTCAATGGATGGCACTTTTTGTCCTAAACTATTTAATCAAGTATATATCATCCACTCTCATGATAGGTTACATTGATCTGTTCTGTCTCTTTCCCGATAAGACCAGTGCCACGTCCGGTAAGCTCACTGTCACAATTAGGACAACTGGCTAGATCAATTACAGAAGTGTGAAATTTCACTGTCAAAATCGGGACTAAACCATGTACATGCATGAACCAATTCATCGACTCTGACCACCTTATCCCGTAAGCTACCTCTTTACGACAAGCATGGGTTTATATAGACCAAATCTCACCAGTATTATACGGGTGGGTAGTCTACTGAATGTAGGAAAAGGCAAATTCATAGTTCAAAACACAACAGAAAATAGCTGCATGCATTGTCACGAAAACATCTAACTGAACTCGAAGTCTAAAGTCCTCGCATTGGTTACAGCTCAAAGCCAGATCTGCTTTTATCATTTGACAATTTCTCCTGAATTCTCTCTCAGATGGCACCTAATCGTCTATACGGTTGCCAGATCCAGCAAGGCCCATTTTGGCCTCCCCAAGGTTCCAGAATTTCTACTGAGATTTGTGGAGTCGGCATTGTAGAATCAGCAACCTCAGGCTGTATTGATCAACAATCAATGATTGTTGTTGATGTTGACAACATACGATGATGGTGATGATGATAATGATGATGATGATAATGATGATGATGATGATGATGATTGATGTGGTGGTGGTGGTGGTGGTGATGATGATGATGATGATGATGATGATGATGATGATGATGATGATGGTGGTGCTGGTGGTGCTGGTGATGATGGTGGTGATGATGATGATGATCATTATGATTTTCTGTCTTTCAGGCATCTATCAGAGAAGTGGACGTCGATGTAAACACAGGAATATTCAACACCAAGAAGCCTATCATGCTCAGGGTCCAAGTCCGTTCAGACGAGTAAGATGGCAAAGACCCAGTGTTCTCAGAGCCTGACAGCGCCGACATCCGCATCATCCAGTGTATTATCTCCCTTGTGTTACATTAAGACCAGGGACTATTTCACCAACGTGGCTTCGTTCTTTAGTGCCAAGCTAAATGGCTGCCCAATTAAATGACATTTTTTTAATTCATTGAAACAAGACGCGATATCACTAGTTTGAATCTTCTCATGCGTCCGACCATCTTTCATATATGTTAACGCCTGGTTGCAAGCAACTTAATTCCTTCTAGCCGTCTAAATATTGAACAAAACAGTTTTTTTCCAATTCATTTACAACAGTGTTGGGTGTGGGCTAAATGAACTGAAGAGCATGTGTAAGCCCAAATATAGATCTTTGCCAAACTTTGTTCAGAAGAGTGACTTTCATTACGCTCATGAGCGAGAAAAAATCTATGGTAGGCTGGTGGTAAATACATGGTACTGGTGACGTTACTCAAAAGATGTTGTCTCACATTTTTTTTATATTTCCGTAGATATTTTGTCATCCGTTTATAATACCTAACAGAGAGAATGTATTCCGTCGGGATTAACAACCCTTGACTTAACTTGTACACGCAATGTTTTAATCCACGTTCAATGCCCAGCATATGTGTATCAGTAAGGCACTGAGTCTGGTATCTGTCTGTGTGTCAAAAGTAGGCCCATACTTGAGAAATGATAATGATACGTCAAATTCGGTTTGGTAGCATGGATTGTATATATATTTCAATTATTTTCTAAATTTAGAGAGAGTTTTTTCTCAATTACTTCGATTATATTCTATTTAGTTTATAGTTATCTAAGTATATTAAAATTACCTTTTCTCGTTATTTCAAGTAATTCCTTGAAATTTTGAGTTTGTTTTCAATACATTGATTTAGCTTTTCAGATTGCGCAGGATTTGGATGAAGACTTACGACATGAGACTTCTGATGTAGAAGTGTATAGTCTTTGTTTTAATAAAAAAATATAAACATTAACATACTTCCCAATTTTTCTTGTCCCATGTGGCCAGTGCAACTGCGTCGCGTTCATCGAGTTCAATATCACGGCGGGGAAACCAGAAATGGACCTTTGACTTTGTACCCAGGTGGGGAATCGAACTCGGGTCTTCGGTGTGACGAACGAACGCTTTAACCCCTAGGTTACCCCACCGCCCTCAAACAGCAAGAAAACGGACAGACGAAAAGAATGATGAAAAGAACACAATGTTTCACTAATTGTGTGATATATTTCATGAAATTGTTAACTTTCGATCACTTGATGAAAGTCTTTCAAACAATTCAGGTTGAGTCGCTTTGCTTGGGAAACAATATTTTAATAAAATTAATTTTAATTTTAATGTAGATGAAGAAAAATCACGTTGGCCTGGAGTGGGCATTTCTGGCACACAGGAAAGTGCTATACATGAAAGACAGTTTATTTGTATATATGGCTAATGTCAAGTAGTAAAGAGAAAAGTGTGATATGGAAGGCACTGAAAGACAGTTATATTCGCATATGTTCCCAAAAGGCCTATAGGACATCACGTATACAACACCATAGCACTGTACAATCACATCGCACATTCATCAACAATAAGAAAAGGAGGCGGTTGGGTGTTTTTGATAAATGACAAGAGCTTTGTTCAACAACCCGACTTCAAACATCTGGTCTGAAGGGAGTCCGTACTTTCTATTTCACAAGTGTTTGCTTCAAGGCAATCAACTATTGTTAAAATCCCTAGAATAGATATATCGGAGAAATGATATAAAACTCCGCTCTTATTGTTGCCTAATATATTATACGTTTAAACTTTTATGAATAGCTTGCTTATTTCTTTTTCTGCAAAGCTCGCACATCTACGTGCGAGTGAATTCTTTGAAAATCACAGCGACGGAGCGACTAAAGATCAATTAAATATTTGTTTGTATAGATTACTAGTTTTCAGACCAAGAGGTTTCAGATTGTTCAAGTGAACAGAGGTGTTCCGCAAGGATGCGTCATCATGACCTTACTCTTCATGTGGGGAAGCCTAGTGGTTAATGCGTTCGCTCGTCATGCTGAAGACCCAGGTTCGACTCCTCACTTGGGTAAAATGTGTGAAGCCCAATGGTGAAGCCCGCCGTGGAATGTTGCTAAGAGCGGCGTAAAACTATTCTCACGCACTCACTGCTCTTCCTGCTGCGCAACTGAAGTTGTGTTGGTCATCATCTTGATTGTCTGATTGGCAAAAAGGCCTCAAATATGAGAATGAAAAAAACCCATTACAATGAAATCAAGGAGACAAAAGTCGTGTGAGAATAATCTTATTTTGTTGAATGCGAACAAATACAAAAACAACGTCGGAAGATTTCAGAGTCCGATTGAACTCGTAAACTATTCACGAGACTGGATTATCACCATGTTAAACAAGGAGTTGAATTCCGATACCATCTGCTAGTATTTTGATTTCTCCATTGATTTGATTATCAGAAACACCAACCAAACGTTTTCCATATATACCGGTTTTTTAATGTTAAGAATATTCAGTCCCAGCTTTTTCACTGGTAGATGTTTGAACATTTTCCACTCAAGGAAGGAGATCGATATATGGACGAACAACTTCTTTATTGTTAGCCTTCTTTACTGATCCATCTTCTTAATGCCTCTCAAAGAAATGTTCCCCTCAAAACTGGTTTGGAGCTCTTTCGAATCATAGTACTAGCATCTTTCGTTTTGACAAAAGTATTTCATTGCTCATAAAATAACGAGGGTACTCTCTCCTGCATTATGTAAAATTCTTAATCTTGCAGCTGACACCGATCACTTGTGAAATAGAAAGTACGGACTCCCTTCAGACCAGATGTTTGAAGTCAGGTTGTTGAACAAAGCTCTTGTCATTTATCGAAAAAGCAAACCCGCCTCCTTTTCTTATTGTTGATGAATGTGCGATGTGATTGTACAGTGCTATGGTGTTGTATACGTGATGGCCTATGGGCCTTTTGTGAACACATGCGAATAAAATTGTATATGTATATGGGTCTGTGGGTTTCATACGTAATATAGATTTGATGATGATGAATACCTCGAGGAATTGGAAAGTTCTTCATAATATCGATCACCAGATTGTCTGGTCCAGACTGGATTACAATGACAGTGAGTGTGGTAATACGTCACTTTTAGTGATATTCCAGCAGGGGACACCAGAAATGGGCTTCACACATTGTACCCATATGGGGAATCGAACCCGGATCTTCAGAGTGACGAGCGAACGCTTTAATCACTTCGATCATATGACATTCTCAAAGTCTCTGTCATACTCCCGTTTATGTATGATTTAAACCAAGGGGAGATAAGCCCGACGGATCTACATACCCGAATACTTTACCAGACTGTTTGAAGTGCTTGTTGTCAAAGTCCAGACCCTGTAACAGTGAGTGAGTATGCTTTTAAGCCGCTTTTAACAATATTCCAGCAATATCTCGGCGGGGACACCAGATATGGGCTTCACACATTGAAGTTCTTCATAATATCGATCACCAGATTGTCTGGTCCAGACTGGATTACAATGACAGTGAGTGTGGTAATACGTCGCTTTTAGTGATATTCCAGCAGGGGACACCAGAAATGGGCTTCACACATTGTACCCATATGGGGAATCGAACCCGGATCTTCAGAGTGACGAGCGAACGCTTTAATCACTTCGATCATATGACATTCTCAAAGTCTCTGTCATACTCCCGTTTATGTATGATTTAAACCAAGGGGAGATAAGCCCGACGGATCTACATACCCGAATACTTTACCATACTGTTTGAAGTGCTTGTTGTCAAAGTCCAGACCCTGTAACAGTGAGTGAGTATGCTTTTAAGCCGCTTTTAACAATATTCCAGCAATATCTCGGCGGGGACACCAGATATGGGCTTCACACATTGAAGTTCTTCATAATATCGATCACCAGATTGTCTGGTCCAGACTGGATTACAATGACAGTGAGTGTGGTAATACGTCGCTTTTAGTGATATTCCAGCAGGGGACACCAGAAATGGGCTTCACACATTGTACCCATATGGGGAATCGAACCCGGATCTTCAGAGTGACGAGCGAACGCTTTAATCACTTCGATCATATGACATTCTCAAAGTCTCTGTCATACTCCCGTTTATGTATGATTTAAACCAAGGGGAGATAAGCCCGACGGATCTACATACCCGAATACTTTACCATACTGTTTGAAGTGCTTGTTGTCAAAGTCCAGACCCTGTAACAGTGAGTGAGTATGCTTTTAAGCCGCTTTTAACAATAAATATTCCAGCAATATCTCGGCGGGGACACCAGAAATAGGCTTCACACATTGTACCCATGTGGGGAATCGAACCCGGGTCTTCAGCGTGACGAGCGAACGCTTTAACCACTAGGCTACCCCACCGTCTCCGACTCTGTAACAAGATGTCATCTTTGATATGTATGTTTCAAATGAAAACATTGACAATCATCACATATTACATCCCGAACAAAAGTAGTTTGATGTCACGGATGTTTTGGGGGATAATTTTTGTGTTGATGACTCAGCATACAAATTTATTCATGTTCTCTAACATATTCAGAAAAGGAATATCATACTTATATATCAGAGAGATTTTACTTTTGATGCAATCTGGGGGTTTTAAGTCAAAGTGAACGACGAACCTTATTGTTCTTTTCTAAGAAGGTATGTTTGAGATTAAACTTGAGCTCACGTGCTGAATCATTTGATGGAAGTTCCCGATATAAATCACAGGCTCCGGACCAGCAATACCAGCATCCTTGAACAAACGGTTCCTCTTCTTTCCATATCTGAAAATAATAGAGATCCGGATTAGAAGTGGCATCAACCCCATGATTTTCGTAAGAAGCGAGAAACGGGATTGGGTGGTCAGGCTCGCTGACTTGGTTGATACATGACATCGTATCCCATTGCGTAGACCGACATGCATGATATTGTTCCCTAGATTGTCTGGTCCAGGCACAATTATTTACAGACCACCGTCGTATAGCTGGAATAATTCTGAGTGCGGCGTTAAACAACAATCAAACAAATCTAAAAGTAACGTCAACAGTTTGAAGCAAACTTAAGTAGGTGCTTATGAGATGCCCCCTTTCTAAAATCTGAATGCAGCAAAACGGCCTTCACCTTCTGACATTTAATGCGGTAGTGCAGGTCGTCCCTCTATTTTCTGTCTTGGTTATTTACGACGGCGTGTCACCCTGACAATAGTTAACAAATCTTATTAGTGGATCAGTTATCCAATAAACTGTTTGATATTTCTTTGTGAAACATAACCGGTGCCTGTTTATTTTTATGTGCGTGTAAAGGGAAACTAGTTGGGACCACGATTTAACTGAGGGTGTTGATTTCTCTCTTATGTTGTTTCATCTACCAAGTCAGCCAGTCTGACGTCTAGATCCCGTTAGTCGCCTCTCATGACAAGCATATGGGTTGCTCGAAACCAACTCAAACTGAACGGAGTAGCACGCGTAGCCACTGACACATGCGTCCGATGGCGCACACACACAAACACACGGGTCACGCGCGCGCACGCACGCACGCACGTTGCTAATATAAGAGCTTTGAAAATTGATCTCGACGTGAATATCCATGCAACCCCACAGTGTCAGGTGAGTGGGTGAGAGAGTGAGAATGGTTTTACGCCGCTTTTATCAACATTCCAGTAATATCACGGCGGGTGACATAAGATGTGGGCTTCACGCATTGTAACCATTGGAAAACTGAACCCGGGACTTCGGCGTGACGACCAAACGCTGTACCCACTAAGCTACGAACCCGACCGCCCCTTGTCGAGTGAGTGAATGGTGTGTGTCTCCGCAGTCAGCAATACTCCCCATGTATTAAGACGTCCCATCAGTAACATGGTGTGGGTCACGTTAAGGGATGACAAAGTTCCCATCTTCTATGTATGTTTCAGTGAGTATCATTTTGCAGATCTCTTGGGCAAAAATAACATGTGTCATATTATCAGTCCTTCTGTTTGCTGTGACAGGCCCCAGGCTTATTACAAATACATGAATAGAGCATGTGTAGGTATTGTGCACAAGCGTAGATAAACACACATCCCTTTCTATTAAACAGAGACCATATACCGGTCTCTGTATTAAATGAGGGGCGGTGGGGTAGCATAGTGGTTAAGGCGTTCGCTCGTCATGCTGAAGACCCGGGTTCGATTCCCCATATGAGCACAATGTCTGAAACCCATTTCTGGTGTCGCCATCCATGATAATCCTGGAATATTGCTAAAAAGCGGCGAAAAAACCCAACTCACTCTACGCACGTTAAATACATGCTGCGTACATGCACACAATGTACGTTTACCTATACCAATATGTATAAGATGCAACACGACTTCAAACTGGAGTGTTTCATCCAAATCATTAACTGTAAAGTTACCATTTCCTAATTCCGTTTCAAAACCAGAGATTACCCCAGCCCATGACTTCAGCCCCATACCCCAGACCCCACCCCACCCCAGGTTTTACAGTATGCCGTCAAGGACTAGCCGTCTGTGCTTGTGACACGGACCCTTTACAATTTGTTATCATGCACTCGGCCACGACCTTTTGATAGTGTTTTGACTCGCCAGTCTCGCCACTGTAGAGGTAGACTAACAACTAGTCTCTGAAATGAACATATTTTACTGAAAAAAGTTTATGGTAAAAACAAAATATATATATAATGAAAAGGAACCCTGAAGCTGAGGAAATCTAGACTTGCCACATTTTCTAGACTTGTGTGGGCTTTTTTGGATATATTTGCTTCAGGGTCTGTACGACAGACTACTGTAGAGGCTGTGCGCCTAGAAATTGACCAAGACCTTGTAACGCTAAAAACTGCCATCAATGTATTTACTTTCACTAAAGACCCAGTCAGTGACAGTATATCCCTTGATGGCAGTTTTTAGCGTTACATGCCCCTGTGGAAACAATTGTCAGTAAATCTCATTAGTATATAAGTGATCCAATAATTTTATTTACTCATAAATCAGAAACAAAACCGATATCCACAGAATCCATGTTGGAGAGATGTCAACACAGCCGAGTATCTCTATCAGGAAAAGTATCCAAGAAAACCAATCGGCTACTTAAACAACCCCGAGGTGACAGGCCTGACAGTGATGATTCACGAACCCAAAACTGCAGCAGTGCCACTTCGCCCTGTGGGTGGATACACCTGACCTGCTGGGTTAAATCAGGGATAATCCGCGTCTTCTATTCTCCCTGGTTAAATGTACCGAATGTAATCTGAGCGATAATATGGTTTGCAAGGTCCTTGGGATAATTGTATCAAAAGGTTTTAAGTGTAGGTGAGACAAGTACTTGATGCTATAAGCGATTAGACACCAAAGGTTTTGTCTGGATTGTGTAAAAAAAAACCCAAACAAAACCCATGTTATCCGAGCAACTATTGCTTACCTCATCGTGACAGAACGTTTTACTTGTATTTAAGCTGTGCAGTGGGCCAAACGGTTCAGCCTGGTTTCTTGCCCTGGCGCTTCACTTACCCGGCTAGAACTGCTCAGTAGCGGCCTTCACGCTAGGCACACAACCATTTATTGAACATATTTTATTATGTATTCGTCTAGTTATGATAAATTTCATTTTGTAACCAGAAAACTACTTCATATTTAATGACCTTAAATATCAGAACATTGAGCCAATGACAAACCCTATCATTAAACACAATTGAGAAGGATCTGTAGAGGTGTCAAAATTTGTTTATATACTCAATGTCAAAAGTTTTTGTGACAAACAAACAACAAACAGAATCAATGTTAACCTTTTAGTGCCGCGAATTAAATGATATTACAAGGAAAGACAAATGCTTCAAGGTACGGTAACGATCAACAGTCCATAAGAACAGCGCATCTGGTATATGAGTGAGTGAATTTAGTTTTACGACGCATTTAGCAATACTCCAGCAATATCACAGCGGGAGACACCAAATATTAGTTTCCCATTGTACCCACGTGAAGATTCGAACCCGGGCCTTCGGCATCCCGAGCGAACGCTGTGACCACGTGGCAACCCCAAGGCCCATCTGGCTTATGAACAAGCGCCACTACACAAGAGGGAGTTCACACGGTCAGTAGCGACTGTTTCCAACCTTTTCACTGAGAGCCTCATTGAGGCCACTTAAAGTCCATGAACATCCTGGGGAAGATCATTCCATATCCGTGGAAGGATTTGGCGGAAATCTTGTAGCGTTGTTGAAGTATTCTGATGACGTCGTAAGCGTCGCTCCATTTCACCCCAGACGTATTTAGTGTGTGGTGAAGTATGGGGTGGTAGGTGGGGGGCAAATGAGGGGATCTTACGGGTTAGGGAAACGCTTGCCATTGTTCCGATTAAGATACTACTGTACAGCTCAAACAACGTGTAGGCTGGTGTTATCGTGCTGGTGGCGGTCTGTAAATAATCGAGTCTCGACCAGACACTCCCGAGATCAACATAATGAGAATCGATGTCAACCACATCAACGAGCCAGACCACCCGATCCCATTAATCGCCTCTTATGACAAGCATGGGTTGCTTAAGACCAAATCTAACCCAGATCTACAAGGAGTTGCACACGTTGGGCAATTACTGTAGAAGAGCGATTACTGTAGAAGCCTGAAAAATAGGACAACATTAGTACAGTTGACCAGCCGTACAGGTGTGAATTGTAACTCTTTTATAGTGTACTTAAAGTACTGTGGGAAATGCTAGAAAACTGCATTTTAGCCTTAAAACTTTGATAAAGGTGATAAATGTACTATGTTGTCAATATATCAACTTGCCTTTAGTGTACCTAATTTTTATTTCAATTGATGTAACATTCCCATGCATTTAAAGGGCAGTTTACAGGAGAGAATATGGTACCAAAACAACAACTAAGGATTTTTTCAGAGTTCAACAACAGAAATCTAAAATAGTCTTTACATTTATGCTAATAATACAGGTGGTGTAAAAATATGAATCAACGTTTTTCTTTAACACATAAATGTTGAATTTTTGTGTTACTTTACTTAATTATCGTTTCTTTATTGAAGAAATATTAATATAAATGTTAAGTCTTGATAAATAAGTTTCCCGTCATGCATGCACATCTTTATCACAGCGTCCACTATGGCCAACTATTTGCAGTCAATTGTTGCAAAAGTTTATAAGTTTTTTGTGCTTGAAAAAGACAGAGGTAAACCTTTCATTAGTTTAGAAAGGGTTTATTTCAGAACTTGTAGAGCTGTTGGTATGTCTTACCAACAAGTTTCAAATATTTTTAACAAATCAGACAAGACAGGGACCGTCTCAAAAGCGAAACCGGGACGTAAAACCATCCTTGACAACTTTGACAAGGGAGTACTTACACGGGCGGTCAACAAACTTTAGGAGAAGAAGAATATATATATTCTAAAGCAGCTACACCAGTGACTTCGTTAAATCTTTGGCCAATGTTCACAACTAGATTAAACTGACCGAACTACATCCATATTTTGCAATGAAATATACCGTTGACATGCAAAACATTTATTAAAACGCTGCACATTTCTACAATCAATCGATAAGATAACACAAGTGATAGGATTCTTTCCAATGTACTGTAATTCGTATGTTTATTTTAAAACAAACACACATACACACATACACACATACACACATGGTCCCTTACATAACCAATACGTATACTATACATACACATATTCAACATTTTGAAGAAAACATCTATTGAGATGACCCCTCCCCCGAGCGTGTGCTCAGGTGTCAATTTCACCTGTCGATACCGTGCATGCTAATGACGTAACACAGGCAGTTAATGTTTGTATCAAATAACGTCCCACTACCGGTTATTTTTCTAAGTTTTGGTATTTTCATAAGTAAAAACACATTTTAGGGCATGTCTCAAAATTTATTCTCTCGGTCTACATTAGGTAGATGTTTCTTAAAGTGATATTTGTTATTTAAGTAACTGTAATACCTCTGAATTTTAAATTAAGTCAAAAAGCATTTTTCTAGCATTTCCGACAGTACAGTCAACCACACTGCCTTTGTACCTTTAACACTCAGACACAACAGACAGACTAAGCGGGATGATCTTGCCATTCTTACGTAAGGTATTGCGAGGTTTGGAACCCATACACATATAGTAATTACATCGAACCGACTGTCGCTTCAAACTCGAGAATCAATATTCCGTTATCTTCATATCCAGAGTCTCGATCCACAAACCGTTTGTAGAGCTACGACATTTGGAAGCCTGTGATAATCTATAGAGTTACGACAGGTCGTAACGTTACTAACGCTTTTACTTTTACACATCTGTCCAAGATTGACCTTGTTGGGGGGTGATTCTGTACCATCCAACGTTTTTTTACTGTTCTATAACATCAATACTGCTGCTAATGATATAGACTTCAGTTGTATTTCAGCCACTGTTTCACGTTAAACACTTCGTGTAGAAGGTATTAATTTGTCTGACCTGTTTGACTGTCATTTCTCTTATCAGCGACAGAACTGAACCTCGCCCCATGTTTTTTATCAAATGCTTCGCCAAACAATGCACGACCATTTCGTGCTTTATGTCCAGACAATCCCGGTTAAGGGCTGCTGTCAGACTTCAATAACCCGCTGAATTCGTGCAGAAAATGACTCAGTCGGCAAGTTCTTGCTTTACGGTTTGATAGTCCTCGTTTAGGTCTACACGCACTGCTCTATGATCCCCGGAATGCGTTTATACAATGACGCAACTACATGTAGTCTGTTTGGGATGGCCCTCCGACCAAAGTCCACGTGAAGTAAGACATCGTTTCGCGGATTTCGCCCGACATGTTTTATTTTACAGAAATTCTGAACATTTTTGTGCTATTGCCAATGTTTAAATACGTTAGATCACTCGGACTTTGGTGTCAAGTCGCGTCTGGTTCATCAAGCACTGATCTAACCTGTACTTAAACCGTTTTGATACAATTTCCATAAACCATTTTGATACAATCCCTATGAGCGAGCCGAGCCATTATCGCTCAGATTGCACAGGGGGTGCATTTAACCAGGGATAATCTACCTTATATAGCCTCCCTGATTTAACCCAGCAGATCAGGTATCAGCCTGCAGAGCGCAGCCAAACGTTCACTGAACGTCACTAGCGGCACTTTGTTGTTCGGGAACCAGCACTAGGACACTGTTCTTCGTTGAGCTGTTTCAGAGTTGTTGTTTTTCTCGGAAAAGTACAACTTGCCTGGATACACTTCCTGATGGAGATACTCGGCTGTGTTGATATCTCTCCAACATGGATTCTGTGGATAGCGGTTTTGTTTCTGATTTATGCGTAAGTAAAATTATTGGATAACTGATTCACTTATGAGCTTTAATGAATATTGACAGGATATCATTCCTTCTAAAGACAGCCCCACAGTGGCAAGACAGGCATTTTTTGACAAGGTCAAGGCCGTTAGCCTGTCAAGAATGTCAAAGGGATCATACCACAAGCACGGATGCATTTTTGCCTCAAATTGTGAAAGTGAAAAAGGTACAATGTCAATAAATGTACTTTAGTGAATCAGTTTCTTCCTTTTTTTCATTAATATATTTATGTGACATCGTATTATAGAAGAAAATGCCCCCGTTTATTGTGTAAATGAAACGTAGAGGGTGGTGGGGAGGGTGTGTGTGTGAGGGAATAAAGTGGAGACAAATTGCACATTTTAAAGCCCAAAGGGAGTGAAGGGTGTGAATTTTGAATGCTTGATTAGTGTTATTTATTCTTGATTCAGATGTTATTTGGAAGTGAGGTGAGGTGAGGTGAAGTGGGGTTTAACGTCGCACTTAAGAATATTTCGCTCATATGAATAAGTGAGTTTAGTTTTGCGTCGCACTCAGCAATATTCCAGCCATATGGCGGCGTTCCGTAAATAATCGAGTCAGTACCAGGCAATCCAGTGATCAACATCATGAGCATTGATCTGCGCAATTGGGTGCCCGTATGACGACGCGAATGAGTGTGTATCTGTGCTGGTTTTCTAGTGCTCACTAAGATGCCATGTCGCATTTATACATGAATACCCCACTCAGACACATATTGACTCCGAGCCGACCAGTCTTTGTTGTATGTACCCATTAATGCCGATCGGCAGGCAGGGACTAACAAGTACCATGTTTTAACGTCTTTTGGTATGACGCTTTATTGGAATTCATATTGAAGTCAGTACAAATATATCTCCAAACAAACATGCACAGTTTTATAATAAGAAAGAAATAGTTGACTAAACTCCTTTCTTATGGCCCCCACACATAAAGGATCTAATATCTGTAATTTAAGTTTCTGTTGTAATGTTTATCTCATTTAACCACTGTGAGATAAGTTCATCTGAATTAAGACCTAAAATTAATATTATGAATATACAACCTCTTAACGTTTTCCTTCTTATGAAAAAGTTTGTTACTAATATTCGATGGATGTTTGTTTCAAAAGTACAAATCATTTTCGTAAAATGATGTATGATATTGCAGCTGGCTTGGCAATACCTAACCTTGTTATCTGAATGTGTCATACATTATGTTCAGATATGGAAAGAAGAAGAACCGTTTGTTCAAGGATGCTGGTATTCCTGGTCCGGAGCCTGTGATTTATATCGGGAACTTCCATCAGTTTGTTCTAAAGGTGAGATCATAGTTTAATCTCGATTAGACCGTCTTCAAAATTAAGGTTGTGAATATTATTCGCCCGAGGAGAGAGAGAGAGAGAGAGTGTGTGTGTGTGTGTGTGTGGGGTGGGTGTGTGTGTGTGTGTGTGTGTGGGGTGGGTGTGTTTTGGGTGTGGGGTGGGGTGGGGTGGGTGTGGGTGTGGGTGTGGGTGTGTTTTGGTTTTTTTTAGCCTAGTGGTTAAAGCGTTCGCTCGTCAGTCACGCCGAAGACCCGGTTTCGATTCTCCACATGGGTACAATGTGTGAAGCCCATTTCTGGTGTACCCCACCGTGATATTCCTGGAATATTGCTAAAAGCGGCATAAAACTACGCTTACTCACTTCTTGTTACAGGGTCCGAACAACAAAGACTGGGAACAGTATGGTAAAGTATTCGGGTATGTCCTCTTTCGGTGTTACACCTTTAGGTTTATATTCTAACGGAATGGGACCATGGCAGCCCTGTTGAAAATGACATGGATTACGCTTAGTTATTCCAATATTTGTGCTTTTGTGACTATCAATCTGGGGCGGTGGGTTAGCCCAGTGGTTAAAGCTTTGGCTCGTCACGCCGAACACCCAGGTTGGAATCCCCACATGGGTACAATGTGTGAAGCCCATTTCTGGTGTCCCCCGCCGTGATGTTGCTGGAATATTGCTAAAAGCGGCGTAAAATCCAAACTCAGTCAGTCAGACTATCAAGCTATCGATTTACACAAGCATCGAATATGCCCTTAATAACAGAGATAATGACAGCGCTCAAAATGGCCTTAAACTCTACTCTCTCCATTGCTCATTATTTTAGACGAAATAATGCCACCTATGACGTATTGTTCTCTTTCAGTTGTACCACCACTTGTTCGTGTATTATAATGTATGTGTAAAGGCTGGATATTTTGTCCTAGTCTCTTGCACAAGTAACCCAATATCCTGCCCTTTACCAGTTATCTGATAGGGTTCTGGGGCTCAAGGCACTGGTGCCATGGTTTCCATAGCAACAGATTTTTAGCCAATCCCCAGGGGCTATGTTGTCACATGACAGGGGCAAGAGGGAGCGTGGGACCCACAAGCCTGAAATCTTCCTCTTTCTGCCTGCACTGTCGAGGTGACAACAAGCCAACTTGTTCTTTAGGTAAGAACCTCAGTTTGCTTCCATATTGCAACTAGGTCTTCTGTATTAAAATTCCAATGCATAGTTATGTTGTTAGCAGGATAAGTAATTATCTGCGGCTTTTAAATTAATGCATTATTTAATTTGATAAATCACAGTTAAAATAAATGTTGGGTCACTGTCATCAATTATTCTTGCTGTGCCAAACTGGCGAAAGGTCACTCATCCAACAGGAAGTAAGAGGTTGCGATGGTAAGTCTTTGAGGGCCCGTCTCCATTTTCTGGTCTAACAACATAGACAGGCAATTCACTTTGGTGACGTTCGACAATGAAGACTCCCGACTTCCATCTGTCAGCAATCTTATGTTTTCCTTTGACCCCAATGTTGCGGACAAGAACCCGGTCACCTGGTTCCAATGCTGCTGCATGAGCCTTTCGGTCATAGTAGCCCTTGTTGCGAATCGCTGACTTTTGGGCATTCTCCCTGGCCACTTGGAATGCAAACTGGAGTTGGTCCCGCAGATCTTTGACATACTGTTGAGGTCCTTTTGAAGTCCTGCTGTCAGGATCTGTTCCAAACACCATGTCTACTGGTAGGCGTGCGTGACGGCCGAACATGAGATAGTATGGTGAGTAGCCTGTGGTGTCACGTACAATGCAGTTATACGCATGGGCTAGAGGTCCAACATATTTTTGGTTGTGGTTGAGAGTCCCAAGCATATCCAAGAGTGTACGATTCATCCTTTCGGTTACACCATTGCACCTTGGGTTGTACGGTGACGTTCTTATTTTCTTGATGCCAGCCATATCGCACAACTTCTTGATAACTTTTGATTCAAAGTCCCGTCCTTGATCCGACAGTAGGTGCTGAGGGTAACCATAGTGACAGATGAGGTTTTCCTATAAAGCTTTGGCTACAGTGGTAGCTTTCTGATCCTTTGTTGGAACTGCCATTGCGTACTTTGTGAAGTGGTCCGTGATCACCAGTACGTTTTCAAAGCCACCATTGTCTGGTTCGATGGACAGATAGTCAATGCAGACTGGTTCAAGTGGGACAGATGGTAAGATGGCTTCCAGTGGTGCAGTTTCTTTCCTGGCTTGCCTCCTGATGCATCTTTCACAGTTTGAACAATAAGTTTGGATGGAGGTAGCCATGAATGGCCAGAAGAATCTCTGGCGGGCAAGGGATAAAGTGCTGTTGCTGCAGGGATGTCCAACTTGATCATGAACTCCATGAATTGCCTCCTTGCGATATTGTTTGGGGATGACCAGCTTTTGTCGTTCTATACCCTTGGCATCAGTGACCATTCTGTAGAGGATGTCATCTTTAATTACAAGCTTCTCCAGTTCTCGCAGGTAGACATGCATGTCGGGATGGATTTTGGATTTCTCTGCTTTGCATGATCCCTCCTTTGATTTGATTACTGACATGATTTGACAGATTTCCGAATCCAGGCCTTGCGCTGTTTTCCAATCCACTGACTATGTCCCTCGATCATGGACTGTAGGTGGCGTGACCAAACTGTCAGGAACTGCTTTCTTGGAACAGGACAGAGCTTCCACCAGAACAGGTTCTTCCATGCTGGACATGACAGCGTTTTGAGAGTATGCCATGCACTTCTTTTCTTGCCTGCTTATTTCTTTGAGATTTCTGTGCTGCGTACCCTCTGAACTGCTGTGAATGCCATGACATTGAAGAATAGCCCGGATTGAGCATGAGGAACACTCCACCACTCCAGATTCTGGAGCATCGAGGGGTGTGCTCCGAGCAATCAACCAGTCTATTCTTTCAGTGTCCTGTTTAAACTCTAGATCTTCTTCTTGAGCTTCATGTGGCAAGCGGCTTAAAGCATCTGCATCAGTCATCTGCACTCCTGGTCGATACTTGATGTTAAAGTTGTAGGCTGCTAGGGCTGCTAACCATCGGTATCCCATGGCATCAACTTTCGCAGACTTCAGGACATATGTAAGGGGATTGTTGTCTGTTACGACTGTGCATTCCGAACCATACAGGTAGTCATGGAACTTGTCAGTAACAGCCCACTTCAATGCTAGAAATTCGCGCTTGTGTGCTGGATAATTTGCCTCACTTTTAGAAAGACCTCGGCTTGCATAGGCGATGACTTTCAGGCTACCGCATTGTTGTTGGTAAAGGACAGCTCCGAGTTTAGTGCCACTGGCGTCAGTGTGGAGTTCAAAAGGGGCAGACAGGTCAGCATAGCCTAACACAGGAGGAGTGGTTAGTTTTTCCTTGATTTTCTCAAAAGCTGTTTGGCATTCCTCTGTCCACTTATCCCCAAAAGGCGTCTTCAGGGTGAGCTTGTTCTTCCCAGGGGTTCTTCCGAGTTTTAGCATAGTCTTCCTTGGAATGTAGCCAGCTGTCAGTGCATTTAATGGTTTGCAGACACGACTAAATCCTTCCACAAAGCGATGGTAGTACCCTGCAAACCCAAGGAAGCTTTTCAGTTCACCGATGTTGGTTGGGACAGACCATTCCTTTACAACGTTAATTTTGTTAGGGTCTGGTGATATTCCTTCTTTGGAACACACATGACCAAGGTGGGTCACAGTTGTTTGGAAGAACTTGCACTTATCAGGGTCCAGCTTGAGGCCAAACTTGCGAAGTCGAGCAAGAGTCTGGAACAGGCGATCTTCATGTGTGGGGATATCTTCAGCGAAGACAATGAGGTCATCCATGTAGACGACCAGCTCCTTAAGATTCATGTCCCCTACACACCGGTCCATCAGGTGTTGAAACGTTAGAGGGCTGTTCACAAGACCCATGCTCATTCACTTGTATTCAAACAGTCCAAATGGGCACACAAAGGCGGTGTACTTTGCTGATTCCTCATCCATTGGGACAGCATAGAAGGCCGATTTAACGTCAAGCTGGGTGAACCATGCAGATCCATGTAGTGCTGCGAAGAGATCTTCAACCTTTGGAATAGGATATGAATCCCGAATTGTCCTCGAATTCAACTTCCGGTAGTCCACACATAGTCTTAGCTTTCCTGACTTCTTGCGAATGAGGACTATTGGACTAGCAAAGGGACTTGATGAAGGCTGAATGATATCAGCATCTATTGACTGTTGTATGTGGCGGCGACAATCTTCAAGGTCCTGAGGTCGTATTGGGCGAGCTCTCTCCCTGAATGGTGAGTTGTCTGTCAGTTTAATGGCATGAGTGGCCTGCTCTGTCTTCCCAATGTCATAATCATGAGTAGAAAACACATCTCTCATAGCATGAAGCTTCCCGATGATCCTTTGCCTGTCTTCTTATGGCAAGGGTGAGTCACCAAAGTCAAAGTTCAGTTCTGGTGATAACTCCCCTGTGGACATCTGTGCAGCATGGCAGTGAACAGGTGGCTTGGCTGCTTCTTCCTTCTTCAGACGGTTATACACCCAGTCAAGGGGGGTGACGTCCTGGGGGAGGTACAAGTCAGCCAGTGCTTTCCGAGGAGAGATGGTTATGTCACGAGATGATACATTGTGGACTAATACTCTTATTTTTGGGACACTTCCTATGACAGACACAACAGCATTCATGACTTGAAGACTGTCTCCATAAAACTGCTGATGGTTAATGCTTTCCTGGATCAGAACTGTTTGTGCAGTAGATGGAATATTGACCTTTCTTGCCGTGCCGCGGATCTCCATAGTTTGTCCTGCTGGAACAATTATCCTTTTCCTCCCGGTTAGTCGTACTGTTCCTAGGCGTCCGGAAGGGTCAGAAACAATGCTGCTGAAGATGTGGGCCACTTCACTCTTTATTGGCAGGGTGCATAAATAGGGCTGATTTCTTCGCTTCTGGCATTTTTCTGCTATCCTCCGGAACGTGTTGGTGCCGACTACAACAGGGATTTCCGAGGAGAAGGAGGTATCTGGGCACACCAAGGCGATGGTATGTACCTCCTCATTCGTACCAGCATCTTCCTTTGGCAGTGACAAAGCCATCATATGGAACAGGTTGACCTCCAGCACCATCTACTTTCAATGGGATGTTCTTTAAACTTTCGACTGGCAAATGGGACAGATGTTTCTTGTTGAAAGACCGGCAAATGGTAGTCACTTGAAAACCGCTGTCCAGAAGTCCGGTACAAGGTTTTCGTTCGACCCTAAGTCTTGATTCACAAGCGGGGCCGACGAGTGAGCTTATGAGGTCACCAGGTGTTTCACTTTGAAGATCCGATTTGACCCGGGTGTAACACCTAGCCAGCACTTGATCTGATCCAATAGTTAAAGTTTTGTTTCCACAATTTTGTATTTTGATGATGATGCAGCCAGAATTGTCTACTCCTGTTGAAATGATGTCAAGTTTGGGAGGTACTTCATGGGGTTCAGGTTTTCGAAGCTCAACTTCCTCCAGGTAGGGGGAAATATTCTTGCCCCTGAGCTCCATGGTCCTTTCAGGTGGCAACTCGATCTTGCAATTCTGGAGCAGACATACAGGTCCAATAGATCTCTTGTGGTCATTGGATGTCTTGGGACGAGTTGGTATCGTCTGGGCCTCTGGTCCCTTTACTGTTTCAGAGGCCCGGTTGAGTTTAAATCACTCTTTTTAGATGAGCGATTGTGTCTCTCTGCGTCTCTTGCCTTCATTCGTTCCTAGACCAAAGCTGGATTCGTTGGACTTTGGCATCCCTGTCTCTGATGATTATAGTCTCCACAATTGTGACAAAGTGCCAGACTCTATTTCTCCTACCGCCCTTGGAACGTGTGTCCTTGGGATTTGAGGTTGGAGCATCTAAAGTCTTCGTACCAGATGTTATGTGGGACTTAGACATCATGGATTGCAATGCCTTGAGTTCAACTTTGAGGCTTTCATATTCTGAGGAGCCCAGAGCAGGCGATGCATTCTGGACATGACTCCGAACCTTACTCTCCGTGAACATAGCATCATCCATCTCGACTTCTTTGACAGCATCAATGAGATCAGGGAGGTCTGGGGATGATCCTTTTGGGAACTTTAGATTAAGGAGCCCATAAACACTTTGGTTCCGGTTGGTAGACCGGAACTGGTGAAGGCGCGTGCTGTTGGCATCTTCCCGTCTAACACCCCCATGGGCCAAAACCTTCTGTAGCTCAAGCCCAGGCGGATTAAGTACTCTGATGGTCTCTCTGCAGGCCTGGGATGGCAAAGAACTCCTTCAGTGTAGTCATTCCGTCATTGTATCCTAGATACAGCTTCCCTAAGTAGGTGACGAGGTCCATTGCTGTCTTGTCTTCTCCGATCCCAAAAGCCATATCGAAGGCTGGAGACTGGAGGCTGCCAAGGAGTCTCTGTCGCTTCCCGGTCTCTGAGAGGGCCTGATCTTCCATTACAATCCTCGCTTGTTTGGCCCATTCTTCAAAGGCTACCTCTCCGGCTTTGATGGGTCTTGCACCAGAGAAGGTCTTCAGTCTGAAGTAGCTGGATGAGGGACGATCCCAATTCACCAGCACCTGTTGTGGGTCTGGGCGTACAGTGCTACCGCTACCCACAACCCCAGCACTCGAGCTTGCAACATTAGAGTCGCTAGCGGCTGGGGAGTGGGCAGCAGCAACCTCGTTAGCCGCCAGAACAGGTGTGGGAGTTGTTGGATTTGGTTTTATGGATCCGGCGCTGGTTGTGGCTGATGGAAGCTGTCGTAGTAGCAGCTGGAAATGTTCCAGCATCTGTGACTTCATCGCCTCCATCATCAGGCTGTCTTCCTGTCCAGGGCCTGCCCTGGCCACGACGTCTTCTAGAGAGGATCCTTCCCGAACCAAGTTCACTTTCATAACTTGATACTCCTCCTCTCTGATGAGTATCGTGTCCCCAAGCTTCAGAGGGACTTGAGGGCTCGTGAACTCCACGAGGTGCAGCTGATGAATAGAATCAAGCACCTGGAGAACCCACACCTTCCCATAGCAAGGGGGACAACTCCTCCTCAACCGACTCCGTTTTTGTTTCCTCCGGGAGCCCAAATATTCCAATTGATCGCTTGGGGTCAATTTTCATTGACAACATAGTGTCCAAGAGCTCAGAGTTCGTGAGCGAGGACATGTTGACAAAACTCGGAGATGAGGTTGAGGTACTGAGAATTCTTAGTTGACTAAGGCAACTAAGGGTGGGAGTATAGATACAGAATTTTGCCTTATGTGCCAATGAGTGTATATCTTTGACCGTTGAGGAGTACTATGAATGCTTGCGACACTTTGCCCCACGTTGGGCGCCAATGTAAGAGTTGGGTAATTGCTATGGATGCGTAACAATTACGTCTCACGGTAAAAGGGATGGGCAAGTGTGTCTATTGCACGAAGTGCTCCAGTCAAAGATGACACAACACAAAAAGACAGTAATAATGTGTATTAAAATAAAAGTCTTGGTAACAGAGTTGCAAGTTCCGACTGCACAGTCCAGGTGAAACCTAAAGAACAAGTTGGCTTGTTGTCACCTCGACAGTGCAGGCAGAAAGAGCCATTTTACAGATACAATAATGAAAATCAACAATAATCCGACTGATATGTAGGATGTGACGACAATACTTATTAGGGGAAACAATATTATTAGAGAATATATAAACACAATATTGGAACAAAAGTATACATATATGCATATATGAGCACACAACCCCAAAGAGTATTTACATAAAAAACTTTAATTATATAACCCCAAAAAACCGTCACACCACTCCTATCAGAGGATTTACATAGGGCCCCACCTGAGATGAAGTGAAAGTCACATTAACTTTAAGGGCCAATGGGAAGTATAAAAATACATATATATACACAAAGTGGGGCAATATCTATACCCAACACATTTGGAATATATGAAAACCGGTTTGATTGATATAAACAATAGCCACGACAGGACACCTGGCCTGTACGACACATGTGGCTAAAGGAAATGGGGTATGACTGCCTGTTGGATGATCATACTAGTCAATATGAGGCTAGCTCCAACAGAATGTCAATACACCCAGTAGGTACACCACTTGGGGCTACCCAGAATGAACACCTAATTGTAGTAAAATACATTGATGAGATGTAATAAATGGATATTACATGATTTACATTACTACAATTTGCAGGTACATTATTGGCCATATAATATAATACATTATATTATTATTGAATAAACTGTGACTTCACTTTCACATCAAGTGGGGAAACATACTAAAATATGATTGATATAGTTGCATGGTACCGGTAGTCAATGCTATGTTAAGATAACCATGAAGCAGACGACGGACCCTAGTTTTGTTTACATCCGGTGCAGCCATTTTGTAATGGAGCCGGACGGGAGCCGGAGAATGCCGAGGAGAGCCGAAGACAGCCCAGGCTGTGTGCTGCTCAGTGGAGAGGTCAGCACTGGTCAGTGAGCATGACCGCCACTAATTGGTTCCAGTTGATACCGTGATACTCTAACTGAGCACATGGTTTGGAAACCGGGACAGTGATACAGCCACTTTTTAAATTTAGAATAAAATGGCAAAAAAAGTTCTGTTGTTAGCAGCAACAAGTTGTAAATAAATGGAATTTTTGATTTAGCAATGAGGTAGAGACAATTTTGACTGGCAGGTCAAATAAGCAAATTAATGCTAAACACACAAAATATTTTACTAAAATGAATTTTTAGATGAAAATATATTACAATGAGTACATGTCATTTATTCTTGCCATCGAGTGCACGTTTGGACAGTCACAGATGAGTGACCTTTCGCCAGTTTGGCACAGCAAGAATAATTGATGACAGTGACCCAACAATTATTTTAATTGTGATTTATCAAATAAAATAATGCATTAATTTAAAAGCCGCAGATAATTACTTATCCTGCTAACAACATAACTATGCATTGGAATTTAATACAGAAGACCTAGTTGCAATATGGAAGCAAACTGAGGTTCTTACCTAAAGAACAAGTTGGCTTGTTGTCACCTCGACAGTGCAGGCAGAAAGAGGAAGATTTCAGGCTTGTGGGTCCCACGCTCCCTCTTGCCCCTGTCATGTGACAACATAGCCCCTGGGGATTGGCTAAAAATCTGTTGCTATGGAAACCATGGCACCAGTGCCTTGAGCCCCAGAACCCTATCAGATAACTGGTAAAGGGCAGGATATTGGGGTACTTGTGCAAGAGACTAGGACAAAATATCCAGCCTTTACATATGTATTGTGTTTTATTTGTTTATTTGAAACCGCTCAATAGGCCAGCTTCATGGCGAAGGCCTTTGAATAATCGAGCCTTGTCAAGATAAACCTGTGGTCGATGGTGAGAGCAACGGTCAAGATTGTCTGTTTAGGGTGATATTAATCGATCATACTGAAATCTTCTCATTCACCTACTCAATATTAAGCCTAAAGAAGCACCATACGATGTGATGTTGCCTTTCAAGGGTTTTTCTTGGTGGACTACCGATGATCACTGTGACGGACCCGGAAATTGCAAAAGAGATCTTGATCAAAGATTTCCAGCACTTTACAGACAGAACAGTCAGTATATCCTTATCTCTCTCTCTCTCTCTCTCTCTCTCTCTCTCTCTCTCTCTCTCTCTCTCTCTCTCTCTCTCTCTCTCTCTCTCTCTCTCTCTCTCTCTCTAGTTACGTGTCATCTCTCTCTGTTTCAATAATTTAACGAACGGATGAGTAATTCTCTCTCTCTCTCTCTCTCTCTCTCTCTCTCTCTCTCTCTCTTGTGGCGGCTGGGTAGCCTAGTGGTTAAAGCGTTCGCTCGTCACGCAGTAGACCCGTGTTCGATTCATCACATCAGAACGCATCGTGAATGGAATAATCACATACTCACTTTTACATACATAATGTTTGATAACCTTACAGAATCTTGACCTAGACAACTACCCAGTGGACAAAAGTCTCTTCCTTGAGAAAGGCACCAACTGGAAACGAATCAGGAATATTGTAACGCCAACATTTAGTGGCTCCAAACTTCGCCTGGTAAGAATATTTTCAGTTATGTATTTATTCCCGATTTTTTCAGTACGTGAAGAGAAACGAATATTTTACAAGTATTTTCTGAAATTGTATTTCAGATGTGCGACCGAATAGATCAATGCGCCTGTATACTTACAAATAACTTTGTTAAGGCGGCAGAATCAAACCAAAGTATTGATGTCAAACGGTAAGTCTTTACTTCTCTCAACCATGTATTTATCATGTCATATCTAGGCGGGGTGGTTGGGTAGCCTAGCGGTTCAGGCTTTCGATTGCCCACATGGGTACAATGTGTGAAGCCCATTTCTGGTGGCCCCCGCCGTGATATTGCTGGAATATTGCTAAAAGCGGCGTGAAACCCAACTCACTCATATCTAGGTGTAGTGTAACAACACTCGTGTCCAAATAGTTCAATATCATTAACGACACAACATCTGACTTCTCATATATTTGGGGTCATCAATCTTAACCTCTGACAGCAGACTGCTTCATGAACACGTTTACCTTCTGTGTGACCATGATGGTCAGACTGGCTGACATGGTTGACACGTCATCGTATCCCAGTTGCGTAGATCGATACTCATGCTATTGGTCACTGCTCGATTATGTACAGACTGTCGTCATATAGCTGGAATATCTCTGAGTGATGCGTTAAACAACAAACAAACACATGAAAGTAACAGCCAGAAAATCGGGAACTACTTATCAGTTTGGATGATCTTTTGACCTTTTCTAACAGTCAAGTATCTATGTTTGTATAAAATATATATGGGAGTAAACTACTAGCAGAGAGGAGCGCGCAGCCCACGCCCATCCATGTGTTATATTTCAATAAATCCATTCACGCAGTCGGCGATTATGCGTCGAAACGGCCTCCTTGCAAGCGTGGTAAAACACCGGGTAAATTGCGCTTTCCCGCTTATTCAAGGGTGCCTTGTAAACAACCAATCCCTTGCAAGCGATCGAATCTGGACCAGACAATCCAGTGACCAACAGCATGAGCATCGATCTACGCAACTGGCATACACTGACGTGTGTCAATAAAATCAGAGAGCGATCACGGCTTGCTACGATTCCATGGCGTAGTGACGTCACGAGTGTATTTTGTGTTGTAAGGAAAGCACAATGAAATATATCTACTCCGTTCCAGCTACTTTGGTGCATTCACAATGGACGCCATATCAAGCACAGCTTTTGGGATCGAAGTGGATTCCCAAAGTGACTTCAAAAATGCTTTTGTTGAAGAGGCAAAGAAGTTCTTTGGGGAAGGAATCCAAAACCCTCTCGTCGTGATTGTTAGTAAGTGAATAGTGTGTTGTGCTAATTGTGGTTTCCTCTAGTCGTAGCTCAGGATATGAGACGTTTGATCATGTGTCTACTGAATGTACAACGGCAGCGTACGTCTGGACTGTTTGAAACCAAGATCCACAGTTCACAAATGTATTGGGGGTGAGGTAGCCTAGTGGTTAAAACTTACGCTCGTCATGCTAAAGACCCGGATTTGATTCCTCACATGAGTACAATGTGTGAAGCCTACTTTTGGCGTTCCTCGCCACGATATTGCTGGAATATTGATAGAAGCGGCGTAAATCCATACTCACTCACTACTATAATGATTTTAAGTAATGACATATCTTACAACACATTCTTTGAAAATTTCTCTCAAATACCTTCGCAGTGTTTTCACAAAAAATATCTAAAAATACAAAGTGTGATATCAAGAACAAAACAGGAATTCGCTGAATAAATATTTGAAAAGTCCTGGGAACAAATATAAAAGTGTATCCCCAAAATCTATTTTATAGCGTTTACAATGATGATTCACCACAAGCAACTCCAGTGGCCTTGGAAGCTCGTCATTTTAATTGTGTTATTGAATAATTGCTGTTAAATTTGAATTTACATTTCCAGTGATGTTTCCCGCTCTCACCCCCTTGTTCAGAGCCCTAGGTGCGAGCATGTTTTCAAGGAGCACTCTTAAGTTCTTCACGAAGGTACTGAATGAAATGATTGAACAACGGAAGGCTGATTTGAAGGAAGGAAAGGTAGGTACCCAAGAGATGGGGTGGAATCTGATGTTTCCGAGTGTGCATTAACCAGAAGAACTCCGGTCTTTGAATATCATTTAGAAGGGATACAAACAAGGAAGATAGTTTGATGGATGTTTACTTCTTTCTTATGCGGAACACGTTTCCGAGTATATCCTCACTCCTTCATCAGGTGAGTGGATGGTATGAGGCACAGAGCCTATACATGTACATGTAATATCAACAAAAGTAATAAAGATGGAGGCTAAACAATGGAAGCCAACAGCTTTTTGGTGTTCCCGCCGTGATATTGCTGAAACATTGCTAAAAGCGGATTAAAACCATACTCACTCACACTGGAACCTTGATAACCCATTTCCTTTCGCAATAGCTTGTACGTCTTTATATCATTGAAGTACTCATCAAAACGGCCAAATTGAAAATTTCATTTGCATTATAAATAATTGCATCTACCACCAAACTATCAATTCCTTTTACCAGATGTGTTTTCTTTCATAACCTTTGAGTCCCGTGAATGTCCGGGTTAGAAATTTGGCCTTCAGTAACCCATGCTTGTCGTAAGAGGCGACTAACGGGATCGGGTGGTCAGGCTCGCTGATTTGATAGACACATGTCATCGGTTCCCAGTTGCGCAGATCGATGCTCATGCTGTTGATCACTGGATTGTCTGGTCCAGACTCGATTATTTACAGACCGCCGCCATATAGCTGGAATATTGCTGGGTGCGGCGTAAAACTAAACTCACTCACTCATTCATAATCTTTGAAACTGTAATTATTATGTCTAAGACATGTGGTGTTGATGTGTGTGAGTTTATTAAGAGCCAACTTTCCCTGCTTCTGTTGCAGATGAAAAGACAAGACTTCTTTCAACTTCTGATGGACGCAGAGGATGATGGGACTGACACTCAAGGTGGATCTCAGAAAAAAAAGTTTGTTTGTTTTTGTTATTAGCGAATACGTTTTACGTTATTAATTTTTCGAATGACGAAAAGTAAGCTAGATTCAAAGACTATGTTAAACAACTACAGAAGTTGTTCAAATATACTGAAACTCATCATGTAATATAATAACAGCATGTTCATCTTGAAAGTGATCCACTAATTTCATATCTTGTTCAACCAGTAGCATGGCCTAAAACATATTCCATATAGCTCTAAAACATATGTTGAGCTTTGTGTTAAACACACACCCGAGTATGCTATTGTGCTAAGGCAATATTTGTATCCTTTCCAGAAATGACCAACGACGAAATAATAGGTCAGGCTTTGTTATTCTTCATTGCTGGATACGAAACAACGGCCAACACCCTCCATTTTGTTGCCTACTCCCTGGCAAAGAACCCGGATGTACAAAAGCGGCTCACGGAAGAGATCGATTCGGTTTTGGGAGATGTGTGTAATTTTTAAACAAGATTGTTTTTCTTGACCAACTCACGTGCACACAAGTTAGCTGAGATGTTAAGTCGAAACAAAATTACTTATGAATTCAACCTTCTCTTTATAAGAGTTCCTGAAGAGAGCATCACAATTTACTTCAAACGACAACGCTAGGGACGCATAAGATAGATAGATAGATAGATAGATAGTTAGATAGATAGATAGACATTTAGATAGATAGTGTTTAGTGGTTAAAAGGTTCGCTCGTCACGCGGAAGACCCGTGTTCAGTTCCTTATATGGGTACAATATACCAGCAAGTGGTTCCCCTCGTAAAAAAATAGTGGTATGTGACAACAAACTAATTCGTTTGTTAAACAACTTTTTTATTCGGGTGAGCAAAATTATGAGACAAATCATCTGAGTTGGATGTCGATTTCATGTGATTGTGCAAAATTTGGTTTTGTTGCAATTATTCGATTTTGTGTTAGTGAGCAATTCATCGGTCTCAAATGAAATCAAACGGAATCTATATGTGTCACCTCTCCATTCATCTGCCAAACACTCTGAAGAAAGATGATTTATAGCACTTGCTAAGTTGGAAGGCCTGTTCTGACCTGGACCATTGACTACCGTGCCTTCAGCAGTAGGTCCACGCTCTCTTTGATCAATGTACGTTATTGATGGACTTGCAGAAGTATCACACACAAATTCTACTCAGGTTCCATGTTTGCAGAGAATCTGTCGGATGAATTTGGAAATGTCTTTATATCTTGAAGGAAGGTTTGTAAGAAACTGGATGACAGACATTCCATCAATGGCATACACGTCAATAGTACCTGGGAACTGTATGTCTTTTAGCTTTTCTTTCAAAACTCTCGTCAGTCTTGACTTGTGAGTCTTATTCATTGAACCATCCATTTGACCAAGTGAAAGTGGAAGAGGTGTAAGAGGGAACTGGAATACTTCAGCGAGATCAATTTGACTAGAAGAGGCAAGGTATAAAAGTCAGCCAAACAGATAACAAGAACACTAAAGTTCTTCAGTTTCCTGTCTTTAGTCTGAATGTTGACTTTAAGAGCTCCAGCAGCGAAATTCTGAATCCTGCTTCTTGGGATTGGTTTATCAAACTGAACCTGTTCAGAAAAAACAGCAATCTGAAAATTCCTTGCACCATCTTTCACAGTTAACAAGATCATCTGCATCATCTTCTGCTGGTGGTTTTCCCGTTGAAATACAGTACAGATGTGTGTTCAGATGAGCTATTGTAAAAGGGTTCAGGTAACTTTCAGTTGCAGTGGCAGGTTTCTCAACATCTTCATGATCCCGTTTCATTCATGGTGATTTCTACTCCTTCACTAACTGAAGGATGAGATGATGTCTATGTGTCTGGATGCAGCATCTACATTCAGTCTGTTCCCGGGCCATATCCACTGGCCATATCCGGGCCATACTCTTGCAAAATACTTGGTTGTTTGTTTTTTTACTGAAATTCCACAGGATTTGTCTTGCACAAGCATGTGTCTTGTCAGTGTTCAGGAGATTGAGCTATCTTGTCATCCATCATGCATAATTGTGACTGTTTAACTGCAAATAACAGTGGATACAATTGTCCTGAGCAGTAAGTGAACAGTGCAAAATCACTGTTCTACAAGCTCTGCTGAGTATTTATATTTCAGTACTGATTGACCAGATCAATGTACATCATCCAGTATTGGGCTGTTTTGCCATGAGTTCCAGGTCGTGTCTCATTCTTGAACTGGTCGTAGTCTTTGAGAAATTCAGTAACCTCCTCTAATTCCAACAGCTCTATCAGAGTCCTTTCTGATGCAGATCCAGAAAGTCTCCGATTCTGTAATGACGTTTTGAGAAACAGAGTATTCAGAGCAGAATTTTTTAAAGTAAAGTTTCCAAAATGCAACAGATAGTATTGGATGCAAATGTTTACATCGAATGTAGACCAGTCAAGCATCCACATGAAAGAACACCAATCTCTGTCAGTTTATGAGGTCCACCTGACCTATCCAAAATATAGTCAATTCAGGCAGAGTATGCCATTGATATATGAAAAGGCCAAAACAGACAAAACAGACAGATGTTGAGGTTCCTTTGGCTTATCTGCACAGCTAACTTGGCAAGTGCATGTCTAGGAATCACCGAGGAGGTACCTTCACATGCTGCTTCAGGATGTGAACTGTTTGTATGTGCGTTGTATACATAACCAAGCCTGTTCAGTGTTCATGATGCTTGCCATAGCTTGTTGAAACAGAGATATGCTCCAGCAACAGGCCTTGGTCCTTTAGACAAAATCAAAGGAACAGATGCTGTTGTCATTCTTCCTTGTCGAGTATCGTTAGTTCAAAAGATCAAGAGAACCAATTATGTTTCAAGTATGTGGAAGAATGCTCAATTAAAGTTCAGACCAGAAGGAAATGGATTGAAGTTGGAGGATGGAATTTTTCAACTTGGATGGTATGAATGTGGTTTTAGTTATACTCCACATTTAGCAAAATTCCAGCAAAGCAATATCATGGCGAGGGATACCGGCAATGTTCTTCACACACTGTACCCGTATGTGGAATCGAACTTAGGTCTTCGAGCAAATGCTTGGACCACTAGCCTACCACACCACCCCTATATGCGTCACAAGAAAATGAGTAGCACATTTCCAGACCCTGAAGAATCAGATGAGGGTCAAGGTGGAGAAGATGCACTGACTCTGATACTGGCAATGAGTATGACCTGTGATGAGGTGGCCAATACATTCAGACAGATATACAAAATTATGAATGTGACAAATCAGAATTAACTTCTTTAACTACTATTATAGGATATAGTTACCATTATACAATCGACTCTGCTTTTAGCAGAGATTTCTTATGGGTGTCAAAAGGGTCTGTTGCTTCTATCTACTTCTAAAGTCAACCGGTTTGTGTGCATGTGTGTTTCACTTGCCTGATGACCAGTTTTGTACTGTTGGTGATGTATTACACTTTTAGAATGTGTCTAACTACGTGTGTGTAGGCTGAAAAGCAATTTATACCTCTTTCTGAAAACTTTATTTACAGATCTCCCCTTAAGTAATTTTGTAGAATTACCCTTACTTTTTCTTTCTTAGATAAAACACTTATCTTGAGTGGCATATGAATTTTATTGATATATTTGTATTCCTTGCACATTTTTACATATTTATAAGACTTTAGTACCATATTATATTACATTTTCGTTTCATTACACTGAACTTCAGGGTGTAGAATGACAAAAATTCATGAATCTAAGAAGAAAAACGGTATGTAATTGCTCTACATACTACTCTGTTAAACATTTTATATTGTGAAATTAGACATTGATCTTTCTTCTTCACTTTGAAACCACTGTGGGTCAAATACTGAGTATTTGTAGTTGGGAAGTGTCATTTGGAATGATGCATCAGTTTACCTGAAACAAATGCTGAGTCATTCACTTCAGCGCCCCCTAGTGGGCTAAAGCCACAGCTTGATTTGTAAGACTGACTTGTTTGGATTCGTGAGGCCATTTGACATCAGAAGATATGTTCAAACCTTTTGGCCTCTCTCGGTACAAAATTCACCCCCGGGCTCTTGGATTATAAACTCACTCACTAGAAACTGAAAACAGTTAAAACATTTTAAACATTAGTCTCGATGCTTGTTAGTTGATGAGAATGTTCACCTTTCGCGACCTCTAGTGCAGGTGTCCTCAAATCCTTGGTATCGTATATCAGTAGACAATCTGATGTTCATGTAGCGGGCATGAAATTTCTGAGTCCGAACAATGGACCTTCTTGTCAGAAGGTTGTATTGTCTACATGGCCAAAGAGGCTAACCCAATGAAAAGATAAGGATGGCATCTATGGGATGGGGGCGGCTGGGTAGCCTAATGGTTAAAGCGTCCGGGTTCGATTCCTCGCATGGGTACACTATGTGAAGCCCATTTTTGGTGTCCCTGTCTTGATATTGCTGGAATATTGCTGAAGGCGACATAAAACCAAACTCACTCTCTCACTCATCTCTGGGATGACCCCGCGTCCTGCTACTTACACTACACCAACCATTTCCTTATAGAATTGGGCCGGTGGGATAGCCTAGTGGTTAATGCGCTCGCTCGTCACGTCGAAGGCCCGGGTTCCATGCCCATTTCTGGTGTCGCAGCCGTGATATTGCTGGAATATTGCTAAAAGCGTTGTAAAACTAAACTCACTCACTCCTTACAGAATTTATGACATGGCATTTTGTGTACCTGACTTCAGGACCAACCGCTACATTTTACCAATCCTCAGGCTAAAGACGTTTTAACCATCACAAGTATTTAAATATTCACAAGTGTTCTGATATTGGACATTTGTCTTTCAGAAAACTCCAGACTATGATAATATTGGCGGCCTGAAATACATGGATCACGTGATCATGGAGACTCTCAGACTGTATCCTGCTGTATCTGGGTGAGACACACGGGGATGTGTTACCTACGTGAAATGCCACTCCAGGACCTATGTTTTATGTGCCCGGAGCTCTAATTCCGTGCTGTCACCGTGCGGCGGCAGGCGGCGGCCGTACGATTATTGCACGATTCTACGGGCACCGTAGCCTCTACGATTTTGTCAAACAGCGAATTTGACAAATTTGGAAAAAACGTAAGCCTGTAGCCCGTAGGTGGCATCGCGCACAGGCCGCACGATGTTTTAGTTCCCAAACATCGCACGGCAACTGCACGATCACCGTACGATCTCTGCTCAGCCTCCGCAGGGCTCCGTACGATGTCTGTGCAAGTAGCTGCGGAGACCATACGGAAATCGCACGATTTACGTACGATCTCTGTGCAGCCTCCAAGCAGGTTTGCCACGGCCTGTCCCCAAAGAAATCGCACGATCCCCGTAGACAATGTGGACACAAACGTCGTAGCCCGCGGTCGCCCACGATGTCTAAAACATCGTACGGGAAATCGTAGATTACGTAGGCAAATGTGATCCAGGTCTTACCAGTCTCACTTGTTCGTGTATAGAATCAGATAGGACCAATTATGTTACATGCATGCTTCACAAATTTAACACTGACATTGAATTCTTTGCCCTCTGTACTCTACCTGAAAGCTAAACGCTAAAAACACAGGTATTGACACAATAATATCCCTGACTGTAGAGGATGGTACGTGACTATGTGAAAGGTATAGATCCGTGTTAGTGCAAACTCTGAATATCCAATAATTTATTACAATAATCCCTTAGAATATCATAGCTTTATTACATCATAGTCACAAATTCCTGTTAGGCTAATATCATACTAAAAATTTAAACAAAACCTTCAGCAGACGCTCTCTTCACTGTCACCATAGGGCGGTGGGGTAGCCTAGAGGTTAAAACGTTGGCTTGTCACGCCGAAGACCCGGGTTCGATTCCCTACATGGCTACAATGTGTGAAGCCCATTTCTGGTGTCCCCCGCCGTGATATTGCTGGAATATTGCTAAAAGCGGCGTAAAACTATACTCACTCACTCACTGTCACCATATCTTACTAGTGGGATATCCCTAACCTCACAGTAAACGCAAGTACTCCAACTCTCCATACCCAATGTTACAGATTAGGACGTAACGTAACGGAGACTGTCACCATTAAGGGTTTCACGTTCCCCAAGGGCTGTGCTGTCCACATCCCTACCGTCTCGATACACAGGGATGGTGATATATACCCTGACCCCGAAAGCTTCAAGCCTGACAGGTAGGTACCATCACCCTGTGAACCCATTCCTGGTGTCCATCACCGTGATATTCATACTCACTCACTCACTCACTCACTCACCATTTGGCTTGCCGTAAGAGGCGACTAACGGGATCAGGCGGTCCGGTTCGCTGACTGGGTTGACACATGCAGTCGTATCCGAATTGTGTAGATTGATGCTCATGCTCTGGATCACTGGTCTGGTCCAGACGTGATTATTTACGGGCCGCCGCCATATAGCTGGAATATTGCTGAGTGCGGCGTAAAACTAAACTCACTCGCTTTTCCACAGTTTCCTATCCCTTCAAGAATATAGATATGGAGAGTAGAAATTTCAATAATCTACTCTTGCGGGTCTGTCATGGAATAATGACCTGACAGGACACAAAAGTGTTCATAGTTCATCCTTTCAGGATTGCTTTTGTTTACTTTTTTACTGCTCTTTGAATGGACGAATCGTGGGTTTCGTGTGCAGGAGACTTGTTCAACACAGTAGTTACAAATGTTCAGCTCATAATGCACTATTTCTCAATTTAGATGGGAACGGAAGTCTGAAATGGACCCCATGAGTTATCTCCCCTTCGGTCATGGTCCCCGTCAGTGTGTGGGAATGAGGCTTGCACAGGTGGAGATGAAGATGGCGCTTGGTCGGATTCTCAAAAAGATCCAATTTGTGGCAACGGAGGACACCTTGGTGAGTCCACTATAAGGGATAGATACCATGCTTCCTCCGTGTCGTCGGTTCAGATGAAAAAGGTAATAGTTTAAATCCCATGAAAATGACCTGTCGAGCCATTAAGACTGGACGTACTTGCTGACCTTTGTGGCAATGCCGGAATCCTTTACAATACATGACATAAACAGACATGGTCCTTTTGTATACGACTACCACTTAAGGGACAGAAGTATTTACCCGTGAAGATCCGGGTTAGAATTGTTTTTCTGTAACCCATGTAATGTGTACGTGAAACAACAGTGACCGAAAATTGTTTGTTTTGGTGTTTAGAGGGGTTCGTTTGTTTGTTTGTTTCCATGAACACCTACTGGCCTGACGGTCACTGTGCTCTGCTTCTATTAAACACGTGTATCATGCACTTAAAATATATCACTATTATTGAACTTTACATAAAGAGCCGTTGATTTTTTCCGTCAGTATTTGTAATCTTCCTGGTTAAATTCGTTCGGGAGACTATTAAACTGTTTGTCATTTCAGGCATCCGTCGGAATGGACGACGTCACTGTACACACAGGCATATTGAACCCCAAGAAACCAATCATGCTCAAGGTCAAAATCCGGCCTGACAAGTGATGTGGGAAACCTCAGACCCTTCAGACCCTGGATGCGCTATTATGCTGCTCTAGAATCGCTTGTGTTTGCTTCAAGGCCATCAACTATTGTTAAAATCCCTAGAATAGATATATCGGAGAAATGATATAAAACTCCGCTCTTATTGTTGCCTAATGTATTATACGTTTAAACTTTTATGAATAACTTGCTTATTTCTTTCTCTGCAAAGCTCGCACATCTACGTGAGAGTGAATTATTTGAAAATCGCAGCGACGG